TTTTACCATGACTTTCTAAAAAACGAACATTTTAAAAATAATTTCATTAATTTTTTAATAAGTTCTGAAAGTTTCATTAAAATCCGACAAATATTTGTTTTTGCAAGAATTTCCAAATTAATGTGTTTTTCAACTGACAAAAGAGCTAAAAAACTAATCATAAATATTACGCGATCGTAAAAAAAAACAACAAAAAAAAGATTTTTAATTTTAACCAAAATTTCAACTGTGCTCGAAATGAATAAGAATTTTAAAAAAAATAATTAAAAAAATACTTTGGTCTTTCCTTTTATTAATAACAAACTTTTTCACGATAAAACTTTGTTTTTATTAAGTTTTGGCCCTTTGGGCCTTTTTTCATCATGCTATGCTGTTTTTTTTTTTTCAGCGAATTATTGAATATACCTATTCTCTATTATTAAAACGTTAAGTATTATTATTATTTTAAACGTTAAGTATCGCATTTTTGTGGAGGTATCAAGGAAGGTACTGCATAAATAAATTCTTTTAAATGAAAAATAATGCTACTGTTTATAAATATTTTTACAAGTTTGTTGCTTCAGTGTAATTATTTAGCAAAATGGCAGGTAAATATTAGATATCAAAAGTTTCAATGGTGAGATGCTCCAAGAGCCGGGAATCTGATGACATTATGAAGACAATGTCATCAAACTAAAAAGAATCAACTAAATTTAAGGGAAGCAACTCTGCACATAAGATGTCAAGGGAGGTAACTCGTGACTTGAAAGTAATTTTCAAAAAGGAAAGCAACTCTGAAAAAAAACACAAATACATTTGCAACTTGATTGTTTTTGTGCTGAGTGACTTCTTTGTTTGTCTGACATTTGAAGTATACAAAACATGTAATATATATATATATATATATATATATATATATATATATATATATATATATATATATATATATATATTTATATGTTATTAAATTTCATATTTCAATTTAGGTATATTTAATACTCATATTTACCTTTTAAATTACTTTAATTACTTAATTGCTAGCTGTGTTTTGTCCTATTAGTTAATATTTGTAGTCTGTAATTGATATTTCCTCTTTAAAAAACTTTTTAAAATGTAATTTTAAATTTAATTTATAATTAATTTATATTTTTTTTTATTTATGTCTCACTTATATTGTACTTGTTTGATTTCTGTATTTATTGATTATTGTTGTGATTATTATTATACCCATTCTGATTACTATTTTTATTTTCATCACTTTTTAATTTTGTCTATGCTATATCATTAATTTTTAATTTTGTTTAATTTTAATTTTGTCTATACTATATATATTTTTAAAGTGTTTTTTAAAAAATAAATTTTTACATATTTAATAATCTTTTTAAAATTGAATTTTTAATTTTAATTTTTTTTTATTTGTTAATTTTTGTAGGTTATCATATATTTTATTTTAGGTATATTTAATACTCTTATTTACATTTAATTTATTTCTTTTAATTGCTAGCCATTTTTTGTCAAATTACTTTATGTCTGTAGTTGATTGTAATTGATATTTCCCTCTTTTATTGGTTTTCTTAAACTTAATATATAATTAATTGATATTATTTATTTATTTTTCACTTATATTGTACTTGTTTGATTTCTTTAATTTTTAATTTTAGCAATTATTTATTCGTAATTAATATTAATATTCTTTTTAATTTTACTAAATACTTGTCCATATTATATTTTTTTAATTAACTTATTATATGTTATTTTTTTTTTTACAATTTTTATCCTTTGAAAACATTCTGTAGGTTTTAATGTTTGAATTTTCGTATGTAATTTTTCCTATTGAAACAGGAGTTAATATTTTAAAATATAGGTCAAGGTTATTTTTGCTGAGGTTAAATTTCCAACTTTGTTTAAATTTTTGTCTAGATGTTTTCCTGACACTCCGGTGTATTTTAATTCCCCCTCCCAATCTCTACCTCATTTCCCCACTTTTTCCCCCTCTTTCTTTCTCTTTTCTCCCTTTTAGATCTCTTTTCTCCTTCTTTGTCATCCTTTCCTTACTCTTCCTTCATGTCTCTTACATTTTTGGAAAAATCTTTATGCTTCATATTTATTTTATTTTATCTTCAAACTTTTTCATTTTGATAAGCTCTATGGCCATCCAGATGGGGTATTTTTGAATTTCATTTATATGTAACTTATTTATATATGCTCTGTAATAAATACATTGAGCTTTTTTTGTGGATCAGTTTTAATATTTTATATTATGAGTATTCACTTGGATTTTTACCTGTACATGTATATATATATATATATATATATATATATATATATATATATATATATAGATAGATAGATAGATAGATAAATAGATTTTGAACAATAAAAAATATTAAAACATTTCAAAAAATTAAAATCTTCAGACACACTGCCTTGTATATTATTTTGTTTTTATTATCTCAGTTAGATTCCTCAACTAGTTTCAGACAACACGGCCATCATCAGAAGAAAACAAATTTCTGCTTGTTCATAGCAGCAAAATACAGAAATGAATGATTTGATGGAAAAAAGGAACTTTTGTCTATAGTTTTCATTTGTTTTTTTTTAATTTTTTTCTTCTTTTAACATGAACTTTGATTAGTCCTTGTGTTTGTCAAACAGTCTCTTTTAAGTTGTTATTTAAGATAAGATTCATAGATGGATTCATGCTGCTCTGAATTCCCTTAGTCATTTTGACAGTTTTATTTGACAGTTTATATATATATATATATATATATATATATATATATATATATATATATATATGAAGGGTGTATCAAAAAATACTTTTAAAAATTTTGGGGCCAGTTTCTTCACACCAAAACAAGAATAAAAGTCCATATAAGCATATATCCTCAAATCCTTCGTTTTTGAGTTATTAAGTTTAAAGTAAGTTTAGGGTAGATGGCCCTGTGTTGCCATGTAGACTAGATTACATTTGTCATTCATATATATTTGTGCTTAGTCTGTCTTCAATGTTTAACATGTGTATTAGTGACTTAATTGAGAAGTGTTCTGTTTAACAATGGCAGAATATTAATTTCATGAGCAGGCAGATAAGATTTTTACATATTGCTATGCGAATGGTAATGGAAGTGAGGCTGCATGGCTGTATAAGTTTGTGTTTCCTGGCTGAAGGCAGCTGAGTCATCCAGCCTTTATTGCTGTTTATTGTTGCATTGCTGAGACAAGATCTGTAGCACCACAAACAATGGGTTGATGAAAAACAATATCCGCTCATACACATGACCATGAAGAACACATTGTACGGCCTGTCAGAGATGATCCACATACCATCACATGTCATGTGGCCCTAGAATGTCATGCATATCATAGTACCACATGGTGGATACTTCAAGAGCAGAACCTGTATCTCTAGCCTTTGCAACATGTATGATTGTACATTTAACAGCATCTACCATAAACTTTAAAATTAATAAATCAAAAATGAAGAATTTGTGGACATGTTTATATGGACTTTTGACCTTGTTTTGGTGTGAGAGACCCATCTCTAAAAGATTGTAAAAGTATTTTTTATACAGTATATATATATATATATATATATATATATATATATATATATATATATATATATATACAGATAAATAGATTGATAGATTGATAGATAGATAGATAGATAGATAGATATATTCACACAATATATGCACATATATATATAAATTCTTATATGTCAAGAACAGTTTTAAATTGATATATATATATATATATATATATATATATAATTATTTATTTAAAAATATGATTCCAAATTTTACATAAGAGGTCTCATGTTTCAAAAACAAGAGCCGAAAACTTCAATATAATCCTTTAAATTAAATTGAGTTGAAAGTAAAATGGGCCCGTTCCATCTTCAAAGAAAAATTTTTGTTGGAATCTATTTTCTATATTTTTATATATTATATATATATATATATATATATATATATATATATATATATATATATATATTTTATGAAAAAACTAGGTAATCCGTAATCTAAAACCTAAGGAGGATAAAATCCAGAGAGCTCAATGTAAATCCAGAGCAAATAATTTAAATAAAAACAGACCACTTTAAATATATATATATATATATATATATATATATATATATATATATATATATATATATATTATTATTATTATTATATACAAAACATGCACATACGCATACACACACAAATATATACTAATATATTGTAATTTCGAAATACAGGTATTTTTTTGAATTTGCGTCTTTTTATGAATTTATGATTCTTAAAGTCTAAATAATATTTCTGATTTATTAAAGTAAATTTGTATAAACACATCAGCAAACAAACATCTAAGGGAAGCCACTCTATCAACACCATCGAGATAGGTTTTCGGTGGTTTGATCATGTTGACTCAAGCAATAAAAGTAAGGGACGCCACTCTTCATATATTATTTTCGAAACAAATTTCTGCAGAGTTTTTCCCCTTATACTTGTAGTACTGACGAGTTCCAAGTGCTTCATATTTGAACGTACAGAGTGTCATATCTATATATCTATATATCTATATCTATATCTATATCTATATATCTATCTATCTATATATATATATATATATATATATATATATATATATATATATATATATATATATATATATATGAAGGATAATGCCAAAGTAAGTAAAATTCAAATATAAAAATTTATACTTAATATTATGAATCACTAAAGACATTCAATTAATGTCATTCTGTTTAATCTTTTCACATGATATTTACATTAGCACGCATAATGTTAAAATGACAGTTTCATGTTTCTTATTATAAAAATGGTTTTGAAAAGAAGAAAGTGTCAAGCAACAACAAGAGATGATCATTAAAATATGGTTTTTGAGAAGTAAACATGGTCAGGAAATTTTCAGAAACCTCTTGCCTATATAGTTGATATAATATATGTGTATTAAAAAGAAATTAAATATCTTGAAAGATGTGGACTTAATTCCTCAAATTTTCATACTCCAGATGACCTAAATAAAAAAAGAAACGAGAATATGCCTTTATTAAATTGGAAATTCATATCATCAAAATTCATTTTAAATTTTTTTTCTACTGAGAAAGAGATTCCTTAATAAAAAATATTCATTATCAATATTCATTTATTATATCACATGATAAATCCAGTCAAAATGATTAAATTTCATATAAAATCTATATAAGAAACAATGACAGAGACACACATGCAAACTATTCTATATCAATCAAAAAGCATTAACTGCAAAAGTTAAAGTTTAAATGAATAAAATATCAGAAGAAAAGAAAATGTCATTTTATACGCATTGAACAAAGAGTTACAAATTAAAGAAATTTTTTCCTTTCAAAAAATGAAAGTTGTTATTTATTTCAATTTAATTCAATTGAAAATAAAAAAAAATATTTCATGAAGTAAAAGAAAACAACATTTATAATCAATCAATGCTTGTATAAAATTATGAAAAGTTTCAAACAGATTTATTATTTGTAAGCAAAGAAGAAATGACTGATCAAAATGGATTTATAAAAAATGTACTTTTATAAATAAATTAAAAGATTTGAAAAATTAAATACAACAAGCATAAGTGACAATGTGCTCCAAGCCAAGCCTAAATTCTTCAAAAGTTTGGGGTCTGCAATTTATATCCAGCATTATCTTCTTCAGATATTAGAAGAGGTTATATAAATTATAGTATAGTTACTTATACAGCCATGCAGCCTCACTTCCATTACTATGACTTAAAATCATTTCCTCATTGCAAATTAATTTCTTACTCATTTGAACTTCTTAGTGAAGTAGGCTCTATTATATATTCTAATGTAAATTCAGTGTAAGTGTGCTAACATTCCTGCTTCTGATAGATCAGACAACAGGAAAATCAAGGGTTGCTACTGGTGGTGCAAGAAGAAGGAAAAACTGAAAATATCAGTGAACTGGAAGAAGGACTCTGTTATGGTTGTGTTGGATTTTACAATAAAACCACTTTTTGTTGAGGATATTGCACTTTAAATTATATATTATTTAGTAATGATTGTTAAAAATAAAGTTTACCTTTGTCAGGTGGTTTGTTTGCCATATTAATGTACGCTGGTTCATTTCCATTCTCTTGTTCTGAATATGCATTAAAATATAAAATGTTATTGTAAAACTTTATTGACATTTCTGCAAATAAAATTGTTGATTCTTGAGTAAAATATTGCTCTGTATGTGCAATGTTATCTGCTTCATGTATCAGAATAAGTGAATAAATTCAGTGAGAATCATTTACTTATTTTAAATTCATTTCTCACTCAATTTGGTGAAGTGGACACTATTACAATGTCTAATTATCAGTATAAGTGAGTGTAGAATGATTATACATGAATTTTACATACCCAAGTGTATAGTTACTCATTGTAACAAAGAAAAGACATTGTTATTTTCCCAATTGTAAGAACCTTTGAAGTATTCATAAAATTGGGAATTGCTTTTGACATGTGGTCTCTATACCCAGTTAATGTTGTCATATGTAGTCGACGAATGGGTTTATAGGGCGATCATACGCCAACTAGAATATATACATTCTCACACCTGTGGAGATACAAAATCTCTCTCAGATCATGACAATGGACAATTGGCAAACAAAATATTTTTAAGACCACTGTTTGATTGGGATAATCGAACAGTAATCTTTCCCAGGTCCGCTTCGTTTTCAACACGAATACTGATCCACAATAGAAGGATGAACTATAAGGCTTAGCGATTTTTGATACAAGAATTTTAATATGTACAAATATACAAATATCAAAATAAAAGAACAGAAAAGTATGAGTTAAAACATCCGACGACCAGATCTCAAACTTACGTTGGGATATCAAAATTTGCCTAACACCAAATGGATTCAACTGAACCCGAACATACAAAAATATAAGTATAAATTATTATGAATTGAATGCAGAAGCCAACGCATACACAAAAGAGATGGGATAGGAGTGACAATTATTGTTTTGACATGTGGAAAGGTGTGTGCAAAAACATAATATTCATGGATGTATGTATATCTTTCTACTACAGGTCCAAAATATGATTACTTATCTTTTATATTCAGTTCTCTTTTTTTTTTTTTATATCAGTGTCCTTTCTTTTCTTTTCTCGACACAAACATAATTTCACACACTGTCTGGCTGTAACAGAGGTATACACTTTCTTCCTCTCTTTGTTTCGCCTTTTTCTTTCCTTCCTTTTCTTCTGTAGACAGCTCAAATTCCAAACCCAGCTCACTGCAACAGGGATGTACACTTTCTTCCTCTCTTTGGTTTTCTTCTTTCTTTCCTTCTTTTCTTTACAAATTCAGCTTATAATAGAGGTATACACTTTCTTCTCTTCTTTTTCCTTTTTTTTAAAACGCAGGCTGGATCCCCAGCGTAAAAATTTCTCTGCGTCTTCAATTTGGGATTATCGAACAGGAATACTTCTTATATTTCTTGTCCAGAGTTGACTGGGTTGAACTAGATAAGTTCCATCACTATCAAATGCATCTTATCTTTCCGTTCATAAATTATAAAACGATTCGGTTTCAGGTTTCTTGCCTCTTCCAAGTCAAGATAGCAACTGATTCTCAGTGAATTTCTGACTGTCACGTGTCTTAAGTTTTGGCGTGAATTCTAGCTTACATCCGTCCTCTGTCAAAGCTTCTGTCTAGACATTTGTCGCTTTGAAAATTGGGTCAAAAAAACTTTTGACCTGCCTTCCCAAAATGTCATAAGACTCCCATTGACCGTTATTCTGTTGATAGACAGAAATTAACCCTAATATATGCATATATGCGTGTTTAGGCTATCTGCTTTCATCACACGTCACAATGTATAGAGGTTCATCTCCATTCTCTTGCCTTCAACATATGGTAAAAATTTGAATGTTATTGTTAAAATTTATTCACATTCATTTTTTTTAATCATTTCACCCCAAGCAAGGCAATAAAGACACTAAGACACAAAGGGTTACTGAGTGTGAAGGAATAAGAAAAAGAAAAACATTATCAAGGAGCGAGAACAATAAAAGAAGAGGAATCAAGAAGACAGTAGATAACAATTGACACTGCATTTAAACATTCAACAAGTGAGAAATGAAAATGTTAACAAAGAACTTATGTTTACATGTGGCATTTCAACTGTAAAATTATAAGACTTTTTTTGCCAACTTTGAATAAATTCATAATGTCTAGGTACCATAGAGCAAAATTCATCAGAACTATTACCATTAAAATATTTATAGAAAAGGCACAAGGAAGCCTCATTATGGCAGTGGGGAAGTGACTGAAACTGGGATGTCAGATCAGCACCAATAACAATGCAGATTCTTCTTTGGATTTTATCAAAAATCTCTAAATATATAGCAGGAGGATCTGACTATATGTGGCAGTGATATTCAAAGCACAGACAAATGGTAGACTTATAAATATGTAAAATAGCTTCTGGAGAGAAATATTTTCTAGCACAGCAACTTTCTTAGCAGCAGACCCAGCAAATGATTGAATATAATCTTTCTACTTCATGTCAGTAGAGAACATTAGCCTGAGAAGGTACACAGAGTCAATCTCCTGGAGGTTAGCATCAGCCATGCTGATGGAAGGCAAAAAGGAATCTCTTGGAGGATTTATAAAAAGCAGTTTTGTTTTGGAGTTAACAAGCCATTCTTTGCCTCAGTTAATATCAGATTTTTGGTCACTTTTGAGATCAACTGTCAATTTGATCTTATTAAACCAATCAGATTTACTATTAAGCAGGAGTAAATAGTTGTGCCATCAGCATAGATACAGAGGAAGGACATTGATGAAAATTAGGAACAAGATAGGTACAAGAATAGAACCCTGGGGGACACCAGCATTAAGGAAAAAAGATCTTAAAAAAATGGCTGTTCAGGATAACTTTCATTTCGCAATTTTTAATCAGTTAAAAAGATTTTTCCCAAGGTACCATTATCTTTAAACTTGTAAAGAAGATTGGTATGTCAAATCCTGTGAAATGCCTTTAAGATGTCCAAAACAACAGCCCAAGCTTCACTATTCTTATCTAAAGCTTGATAGATTCTTTCAGCAATAATCACTAATACATCAGCAGTTGACCTAGAGAATTAAGACATATTGCTTATCTGAAAGAGGACCCTGCAATGTGAGATGATTAACCAGTTCAGAGTTGATTAGGGCCTCTAGTATTTTGCAAAAAAGATGTAGAAGACATGATAGAAGAATCAGATGGTTCACCTGAGTTCTTAAAGACAAAAGAGAAAAGCAGGAAGTAGCCAAGCATTTACTGTAAAGGTTAGAGAGAACAGCATTCAGTTCAGGAGCACATTTTTTAAAGACTATTGCATGGATACCATCAGGCCCACATGCTATGTGGGGATCCAGTTTAAAGGCAATAACAGAAACCAAGGAAGAAGCTATATGTACATCACTCAACAAAGACTCAGTAAAATTGTTTTGGTGAGCTTATCAAGAAAGGATTCGTGGGTAATTTATTTTTAATTTATTTAATACTAATGAAACTTTCACAAAAAAAAGAGGAAAACTCAAGAAGGCTTTACAAAGACAGATTCTGTATATATTCTTCAAGAAAATCAAAAGAAAAGCAAAGAATAATTTTCAGCCAAAGATGAAACCTGCATAAGACTGGGGTCTGCATTTTGCATCCAACATTAACTTCTTCAGTGGATTATGAGAATCTATAAAGCATATATCATTTAGTACTGATTTTTAAAACTGGCTATTACCTTTGACTGTTGGTCTGTTTGTTAAATCAATGTAATGAGGTTCAGTTCTATCTTGTTGACTTGTATATCCAGTGAAATGTAGATGATTATTGTAAAGATTTATTCATATTCTTGCAAATAAAACTGTTTTGATAAGTTTATAGAAAATAATCATTCAGCTACATTGATTTTTCAATAAAATATTTCAAAGATAAATTAATATAAAATAACAAGAATTCCTGAGTAAAATAAATGTATATTTCTCCAGAAAGACTGCAAAGAACAAAGAATAAGTTCTAATGAAAACTTAAAGTTTCCATAATATTGGGTCTGCAATTAGTAATTAGTGGTACCTTCTTCAGTCATCAGAATAGGTCACTGAAAAAGAATTAAGTTCTTTTGCTCATTACAAATTTGCTTCTTACTAATCTGGCCCATTTTGGTGAAATGAACATTCATACAACTTCTTTTTTTCATTGTAATTTAAGGGTAGAATGGTTACCAGTGAATTTTATATAGTTTGCTGCACAATTACACATAGTAGCAATGAAAAAATTCATTCTTTCCTCTGTATTATAAGAATCTATATCTATTATTTAGTCATGATTGATAAAACCGATGATTACCTTTCACAGATAGACGGTTTGATATATCAGCATATCGAGGTTCTTCTTCATCCTGTTGACCTGAAAATTCAGTAAAAAGTTAAATTTTAATTTAAAAATTAATTTCCATTCTTACAAATAAAATTGTTTTCCAAGTTTAACAAGATCTGATATTGTTATGGGACCTTACCCATAATAACATAATGGACTATTCCATACATAATAAATACTGCGCCTCAAGAGGAAGCATGGAGTTCAGTCTGAAGTCGGACGACCGGCTGACCAGCTGATCGGTTGAACTCTCTGTCTTCGGGCGGAGAGGAACCTGAACGAGGCTACACCGAAGGTCGGATTCTCTTTTGGGGAGGTAAACTGACCCTGAACCCGTTTATACAGGTTCAAAGGGCATATTTTTGGCCGAGCCCATGGACTCGGAGATCCCACATTAAACTGGCCATGTGCCACATGATGCCCTCGTGGGGTGGAGTGACTAAATACCGTTCAGTCTGAAGTCTGGAGTGAGGTCCGTCAGAAGTCCATCTGGAGTCTGTCAGTCAGTCAGAGCTTTTCATCTCTCAGTCAGTCAAGTCAGTTATTCAGTCCAAAACAGAGTTATCGCCTGCCATTCAGACAATTACTACAAGACATTAGAAGAGTCTAACCCTTTTAGCATACTGGTCGAGACTACATTGCTCTCCCTACTAAACCTGATTGTTCGTACTAACACTTTCTACTTCTTTGTATATATTCCTGTTTGTAATATATCTGTATTATTCCATATCTGTATTCGAGTTCTTCTTTATTGGTTCTACTTTGGACTATCACCATAATACAAGGAACCAGACCATAACAGATACTTATTTATTTATTTTAATATTTTACAAAATAATGAAATTTTCAGAAAACAGTTCATAAACTCAGAGAAAAAATTCCTTACTAAAATATCATTCTGAATACAATTCCTAAAGAAAAGCCTCCATCAATTTTGGTCAGCAATTTTCTACTTCATTCTTAAAGCTTAAACACTCCATAAAATTGGTTTTGGTAAGTTGTATCCAACATTATCAACTTCAGTGATTACAAGGTGAATAAACTGAATTAGGTTCATTTACACATTGCAAATTAATTTTTCACTGTCTTGTGTATATCTCTGAGATGAGGTATTATGTACATTATTCAGACAATAAACATTCCTTTCAAAGAGTCTATGCGTGTGCCTGCGCATATATATATTACTAGCAGTAGAGCCCAGCATTGCCCCGAGATGTAACAGTCAGAGATAGATCAAGTATTGACCATCATAAAGACTGAAAAATAAAATTGACAAAGATTATTGTTTAAGGTTGACGGACATGCATGTCTTAATTAGTATCGTGAGACCGGAACTACCTACACAATAGACTCTTCCAGGTCTATATTAAGTATGCGACACAACACTCGACAGAGAGACAGTGAGAGCCACATACGACTACCAGTATTGAACACTAACATACAGTAAGCTTCGCTTACACTATCTCTGTAACCTGTTGTTAATATATCTTTCTTACATCTAATCCGTGTTCCGTGTTTTCCTTCTGTGGTCCCGACTTTGGCCCCACATCAGTGGCGACGAGAATTCGAGAAACGCACTCACGCCGAAACCTCAATACCTTACCAGTCCCACATCTGTGTCGACGAAGAATTCGTCGAGAAACGTATTCACCCCGAAAACCGCAATACCTTGCCAGTCCCACATCAGTGGTGACAGAAAGATTTGAGAATTTCGTTCTCCCCATATCAATAGCGACAGAATACTCGAAAAATACACAGAAACTCCACACGTTCCCACAGCAGTGTTGAACGAGAAATTAAGCTGGTATTACTACATTAGCGATTTAAACGCAACACCCAGCATCTATATATATATATATATATATATATATATATATAATATCTGATACGCATTGACGGACTAGCGATTCGACATCTAGGGAATATTAAAGTCTGTCCAAATAACATTACGAGAACGATTTCTTACACACCCACAAAAAAACAAAACAAAAAAAACAGTTTGTTCATAAAACAAACTGACAACACAAGAGCGAAGTACTATTTACGACACAAGTTTTCGAAAAAAGTTATCTAATTTTTTTTTTATGTAACTGAGTTAAACTCGTGCATAAAATTATTCTCCCCTCAAATTCACTGAGCTGAGTTTTCTCTTTTTGGTACCTCTATAAAAAAATACATAATAAATGTGGTGAAAATTTATACAATTATGTTAAAATTAACGGCACCACGGAATCTCAAAAAAGCTAAACACATAATTAGTTTAGTTTAACTAATTGACTCTCCATATTTTTTTTTTTTTTTTTTTGTAAAAGAAAAACTTATCAAGATGTTTTTGTGTACCTTCCCTTGGTACACGGGTTTCAAAGCAACAAAAAATCGCTGTCATTTTTGTTTGTCTAAATATGGAAGATTTTCAAAAAGTAATTGCCCAAATGCTAAAAGCAAATTTGGATCAGCAACAAAAAGCAGAAGAAAGACAACAACAACTATTTGTGGACTTGCATAAACAGCAAATGGAATTCCAACAAATTATGCTTCAGAATGCTGAACTACAACAGAAACAACTTAAAGAATTACTCGTAAATGCATTAAAAGGCTCAAACTCTGGAAAAGATACAATATTCTCCCAGAGTACAATCTACAATTCAATGGAAACCTTTGAATACGTACCAGAGAACGACAAAACGTCCGAGGCTTTTTACAGGCGCTACGAAGATATTTTCAACGTAGACTGTGAACAATGACCCAGTAAAAAAAAGGTACGTCTACTATTGAAAAAACTGGGAACTACAGAACATAGTAGGTTCGTAGACTTCATACTACCCAAGAAAACCACTGACTTGGATTTTTCAGAGACTATTAAGCTCCTATCGGAACTATTCAGGCCTAACACAACCTTGTTCCACAAACGTTGGAAATGCCGGAACACAGTCAAAGACAACCAGCAAGATTTTCTAACGTTTGCAGCATCGGTAAACAAGCTCTGTAATGATTTTAAACTAGCTGAACTGACTGCCGATGATTTCAAGTGCTTGATTTTCGCACAAGGTCTAGTATCAGCAGAAGACGCCGAAGTCAGACGACGGGAACTGACCAAGCTTGAGAACGAACATGGATTGACTCTCCAAAAACTGACAGAGGACTGTCAAAGAGTAATATCTGTAAAGCGTGACTCAAACACTATCGAGGAATCAGGTATGACTCAGATTAATAAAATCAGAAGTAAGTCTACCTCCTATTCCCTCAAAAGACAAAAAGGCAAATCTCAAAACCCAAATAACCCAAATAGTTAAAGAAACCGCCCGGACCATGTTACCATTGTGGTAAATGGCATTGGATGAAATTCTGTCCAGTTAAGAACAAAAAGTATTGCAAAATTGCAATAAAAGTGGGCATACTTTTAACTTCGTGCTGGTACGCCAACAGAACGAGAAAACCCAAAATAAAATTAGGCAAGCTCAATCTGACGATATTGTCGATAGGAATTTAAGGAAATATGTAACTGTGGATATTTTCAATAACTCCATTAAATTCCAGCTTGACTCGGGTTCCGATCTTTCAGCCATTAACTGGCGTACTTGGCGAAAATTAAACAAGCCGACCTTATTAAAAACGGATAAAACAGCAAAATCCGTAACTGGCGAAAAGATTAACATTTTAGGTTTGGTAATACTTACAGTAACACTAAATGGAGTTACCAAAAAGCTCAAAGCCTATGTATTGAAAACTTCAGATGACTTATTTGGAACAGATTGGATAGAAAAATTCAGTCTTTGGGATTGCCCAATGAGTACATTTTGTCGCAAGATACAAAGTACAACGTCCAGTTTGGTAAATCTCAAAAAGGAACTCAAACAACAATTTCCCCAGGTTTTTTCCTGGCGTACTTGGGAAATGTACTAAAATGAAAGCTAAGTTCAAGGTGAAGGACGGTGCACAACCGGTATTCAAAAAGAAACGGAATGTCCCTTTCGCTGCTCTAGAGCAAATCAACAAAGAGTTAGATAGACTCGAACAAGCAGGTATTCTGCCAAAAACAGATTTCAGCGAGTGGGCAGCACTTACGGTCTACGTAAAAAAGAAGTCCAATCAAATACGAGTATGCGCAGATTTTTCCACAGTGTTAAACAATGCCTTGCAAGATCAATACTATCCTCTCACAAGCCCTGAAGAAATTTTCAATAAACTCAATGGTGGAAAAATCTTTTCTAAAATCGACGCATACCTTCAGATAGAGGTGGAAGAAGAAAGTTCCAAATTGCTCTGCATAAACACCCATAGAGGGTTGTACAAATACGACAGACTGGCTTTTGGAGTAAAGGTTGCACCTGCAATTTTCCAGCAGGTCATGGACGCCATGCTGGGCGACCTTGACTACGCAACAGCCTATTTGGATGATATACTGGTTACTAGTAAAACTACGGCAGAGCACCGGAACCATACAATAAACGTATTCGAAAAGATACAAGAATACGGATTTAAGGTTAAGGAGGCAAAGTGTGACTTTTTCTTACCAGAGATTAAACACTTAGGGCATATCATTAATAAAGACGGTCGTCGGCCAGATCCAGAAAGAGCCAACGCGATCAGAAACATGCTGGCCCCAGATAAAGTTCAAGTGTTACAAAGCTTCCTCGGACTAGCTAACTTTTACCAAGGGTTCATTAAGAACATGAAAAATTTGAGAGGGCCTCTCAACCAACTCTTAAAAAAGGATAAACCATGGTCATGGATCCCGGAATGCCAAGACGCATTCGAGAAGATCAAGAAAACTCTTACTTCGACCTCTCCCTCACCCATTTTTAATCGAAAATTCGACATCATAGTCGCAAGTGATGCAAGCTCGTACGGCATTGGTGCTTGCAGTTTACATGAACTGCCAGATGGTTCACGAAAAGCTGTGGCTCATGCATCAAGATCTATAGTTCGATCTCGACATGCCCCAAGTGTCTCCTGAAGTGCGACGCTCAGGAAGGAAAAGGAAATTTACTCAACCGCTCGACGTAAATCCCAAGAGGAAAAAGTATTAACAGTTTTATTTTTTTCTCTCTTTTTCAAAAAGAAAACTCTTGGTAGGGGGGTATTGTGAAACCGGAACTACCTACACAATAGACTCTTCCAGGTCTATATTAAGTATGCGACACAACACTCGACAAAGAGACAGTGAGAGCCGCGTACGACTACCAGTATTGGACACTAACATATAGTAAGCTCCGCTTACATTATCTCTGTAACCTGTTGTTAATATATCTTTCTTACATCTAATCCGTGTTCCGTGTTTTCCTTCTGTGGTCCCGACTTTGGCCCCACATCAATTTTTTTTTATGAATTGGCCAAACCCAAACTCAAACAAAAACATTGTTTTCAATCGTTATGAGTCTATCGATTGAATAGAATTTTATTAGAAACAGTTGTCTTGTAAATGGAATTTTTAAATCATTCTGAATGTAAAAATAAAGAAAAAAGTGTGCAAGACAATAAGAAATACTACCTACCAAAAAAAAACGCGAAGTTTTGTTGAAATCGGTTGAAAAATGTAGGAAATCGGATCCCATATATAAACAAACACACACACACACACACACACACACACAGAGAAACAACCTGGGTTTTATAATAAGTATAACTCGATATGAGTTGTCCCCCTTTCATTCTTGTGATGCCTCTTAATCGTGTTTTCAAATTGATTTCGTGCAAAAACAATTGTGTTTTTCCAGTTTTTGGCGCTGTCAGAACCACCGCTAGGTAATTTTACGTAGTCCTGTGAAGTTTTGTTGAAATCGGTTGAAAAATGTAGGAAATCCGATCCAATATATAAACGTGTACACACACACACACACACACACACATAATCTGCGTTTTATAATAACTAAGATTACAATAATTCTTATCTGAATCCTGACAAGGAAGGAATCACAAAACTCTGAGTCAACCCCCCAATAAGTATTTAATTGCTTTTTGTACAAAGCTAAGAAGGCATTAATTTCTTCTCTTTCTTTTTGATTTTCTATGTTTTTCCCCATATCTGTTGTACTTTCCTTGGAAATAAACAATAGGTATTATTTTCTAAGAGCATATCTGTGTGCATGTGATTGGATAAATAGCATTACTTTCAAAGAGTCTGTGTGCACGTGTGTGAGTGCATGTGTGCACAGGAACATGTGCACACACACACACACACACACAGATATATATATTTGACTCACATTTGTGGTAGAAGAAAAACATTAATTGAAAGCTAATGATTAAAGATTTTTTTCTCATTAAATTTAAAAAATAAAGACTTACCATTTGACATTCTCAAATTATTTATAGGAATGCTGAAATATCAAAGACAACATTTGAATGTATTTTAGTTGCACCAATGAAAAATAGAATAATAAAAGATACAAGAAATAAATTATGATGTCAAATTATGATGTTGTTGATTTTGCATATGTTCTATTATACTGACAATAATTCTGTCTTTACTTACTTTGACATTGCTCAATTATTGATACAAATTAAGCTCTGTAGTCGTTTCTAAATTTGTATGGAAACATTTGGATAAATTATTCTTCTGTTTTTTGTCTGGTACAGTTGTTAAAAGTAAAATATCAAGATCTTTTACATAACGGATTTCTTATTTACACATTCATAGCTTTTCAAGCATCATACCTTACATGAACTAATAAGAATTTCAAGAATTTATCATTAATTAGATATTTAAAACGTTTACTAATCTTTAAAAAAACTGGATACTAACTGATTGGTAATTGTAATTGTGGTCAACTCTTTTATATAAGAAAAGCTTTTGTTAGTCTGCAGTGTAAAATAAATTTTTTGTGTATTGTTTATGTAACTGGTGTATACATTTGTGTTATATTTACTTAGGAGTGACTGCAGGGATCTGTTGCAAAATGACCATTAATTTTATATAAGATAATCAAACTTGAACAATTAGGCAGTGTTGCTGATATATATATGTATATATATATATATATATAGATATAAAAGTGAACATAGAAGTCAACACTTAGAGGCGACAGTCTGTTTCATGCTATATGCAATCGTCAGGCCACATATATATGTTATTTTTCTCATTATTTATATATATACGGGTTAGTGGTGCATTGTGGGTATTCTATTATGGCGGTTATTTTACCGGAAGTCGTTTGTTTATTTATTTGGGTCAAATTATATTGCTCGTTTTTATTTATCTATCTCTGATATTGAGCATTTTATTCCATAAATATAGCACACCTTAAGACTATATTTCTTTATATAGATAGATAGATAGATAGATAGATAGATAGATAGATAGATAGATAGACTGGACTGAGTCTATGTTTATTTCAACTTCTTTGCTGGTATTACTATCAGTGTCAGATAAAGAACTTCTTGATAGTGTATCTGGTATGACTAGTAGTTTCCCTGGAACATGTTCTGCTACTGGGTTATATCTTCTCAGTCTCATCAAAAGCATTTGACGTTATAATAGAGGCACTGTACAAATCATGTGTATTTATTAATGGTATAAATATTTATAATAATACATATATATTATCCTGGTTAATGAAAGAATTTTATTTTGCAAAATGTATTTATAAAGTGAAGTATAAATATTATTATCTTTTCTAAATCTTTAAATTTAAGTTTTAAAATAATATCTTCACTTCTGTTTATAAATACTTGTTGCAAAATAAAACCTTACATTTACCTTGATAAAACACCGCAGAGCACAAAAAGAAATTTTTGTCTTTATTCAGTGTTTTTTTTTTACAGGTATATTTTATTTATATCTGAATTTTTACACACACACAAATATATGTGTGTGTGTGTGTGTGTAAATTATTTTCAGATAAATCATATCTGTAGAGAAAAAGAATGAATAAAAAAAGACAAGAAGAAAAACTATTCTTAGCCAATGTGTTTTGTTCTTTGAGGGACTTTATCAAGCCAATGTTTCTGTACATGTTTATATAGAAAAATACAGATATCATCCCTAGATATCATGTTACAAAGAAACAATAGCGGATTCAAATTTGACATTTACAGAAAAGTTACCAATAAGAATGACCTGGTCAACTTTTATTCCCACCACTCTAATATGATTAAATCTGCTATAATTATAGGTTTCTACTCAAGAGCATTAAGAATCTGCAGTCCCCAAGTAAAAACACACATAGAAGACACAAAAAAAAAATCTCCAATATCTTTATCACTCCATCCACAATACAAAGAGAAAGGCACATAAAATACATAACCACAACAAAGATAACAGCATTATTCACAGCAATAAACTAAACAAAAACATAGATAATACTACCTACTAACTCCATAATAATCACTATCCAAAACAACGTATCCCATCTAAACAATATCCATATAGTCACAACCACTTCTAAAACCATTATGGATATGATCAGAACTATAAACAACCATAGCAATGATAATTCAAAAGCAGGCATATATAAAATTAATTGCCAAAACTCTTCTTCACAATACATTAAGGAAATTTAATAAAAAACATATCTGTGATCACAAAAGGGGTCTTATACATAACAATTGATCAAAGGCACTAGTTATACACACAAATAAATTTGACCACAATTTTGATCTAAAAAATATGAAACTCATCAAAGAGAAAGTAATTTACTCAGAAGGAAAATTATCAAGAATGCTGTCATTGAATCTTATCAAAATATAATTTTTTCCCAATCTCACCTTTTCTGAAAGAATTACTACTTTTCCAAGTCAACATATACAACTACAAATATGTTGACAAATCAAAAGAACATGGTTAACATCATCACCTCATGTTTTTGAAGATATACACCACATACGTCAATCTCATATCATAACAATCTAATTAAGATCTAAACAGTATTCATTAAAATAAAAAATCATGATTATACTTGCTTACTTTTGGCCAGACTTTGAATTATGACACTTTGTGTCCTCCATATAATTTGACTGACCTTTCTACCACCTGATAAACATTCATAAACATTCTCAAATTTAAAAGTCTTGATAAAGCAATGACATTCTCGCTTTTGTATATAAACATGTGCAACGAAATAAATTCTACATTTGCCTTGATAAAGTTCCTCAGAGGAAGAAACATGTTGGCAAAGAATAGTATTTACTCCTGTCTCTTTTTTATTCATATTCATATATATATATATATATATATATATATATATATATATATAGGAAAAAATTCTCAAAGTCACCAGATGAATTACTAGAAATGCTAAATGACCTAAATGTGAAAACTCTTAATGTAAAACTGCAAATGAAGAGAAACAAAACCAAAATTATGTTCACACAGAATCTTCAAGTCTTACAACAAATTCACACTATTTAACTGCATTTAAAATTATATTACATCTGCAAATGTCTTTGATTTTTTTGTGATAATTTGTGAATGCGATTTTGTCAGTAATCCATGAAGAAAAGCTTATTAAATAAAAGTGTTTGTGAAAGACATTATTACTCACGTGTTGCTTTGTGTTTTGTCTGAAAAAAGAAAAGTGAAATTTCCCTCACGATAAATTAAATATAAAAAAGCACAAATACTATTTTTGTTGCACAATAAGTGACCAGATTTACAATTTTTAAAAGAATAGAATTGGTTACTTATTGTGGAACATGTGCAAGGTGTCGGTAGTGACAAATAATACATGTAAGTAACAGAGAAGAAATAAATTTAGTTGATTGATTAATCATGACTTTAGCCAAAAGTTTTATATATATAGACATAAACATATTCACATAACCATAGAGAAATTTAACTTACTTGATGATTTTCGGAATTTGAAACAAATAATTCCACCAATAATAAGAAGAACAACAATTACTGCAATCACAGAAGATACAATTATGTAAATTGGTGGCTCAGTTGATGAATTACTTGGAATCACTGTGTCTGGAAAAAGAAAAGAAAATATTGGGAAAAGTTTTGGAAAAAATAATATCATTTATATAAAATATGATAAAATATGATTTCAAATGATTTTTACATTTTGAACATTTAAAATAATAATAATAATAATAATAATAATAATAATAATAATAATAATCACAAATATTATGGAAGCAGATTCAATTAAGAAGAATCTGATGCAAAATAAGAAGAAAAAGAAAATTATTATAAAATGAACAGAAGACTGAGGAAAAGAATAGATACCTGGAAAAAACTTTTCTTAAACAGAAGAGAATAATAAAGAAAGTTGGATGAGAAAGCAAGAAATTTAATGAGAATGCATCAGGACTTGCAATCCAAAAGATGATGCCAATACAACAAATGAGAGGAAAGGGGCTGATCTGCAATGAAGATTGCCATGATTATATTTTCTGAGTACTTGGGAATGACATAAACAAGAATAATGAAAGGTTAAAAGTTACAATAGAATTAACAAGACAATGAAATAAGAAAATTCCAAAAAAAGAAACCAAAAAATGTGAAGAAAAGTAAATGTATTATCATTTCAATGACTTCTTTTAATTTCAGTTCAAATCTTAGAAAACAGATATATAAATGACACAATGTAAATGACAAATGTGTGTTGTCATTTATATTGTAGAAGGGTGAAATTGTAAAAATATTCAACTTAGTCACAAAGTAAAAAGAAAGGAAAAGAAAACAGATGAAGTGTAAATCTAAACTTTTTACATTCCAGATGAAGTGATTTCTTTTCTTTAGTTCAGTTTCTTCTTATGATGACTGTTTTTGCACAATAAGACAGAAAGATTTCTGACTAACTTTGACTCAGACTATTACATCTGGCTGCTACTTAGACTATCATGTAGATTCTCACTCTCACTGACTGCTATTTGGACTGATTGCTTGAGACATTATCTTTATACATACATACATACATATATATATATATATATATATATATGTATATACACACACACACACGTACTCTTTTCTTACCGTAATTTCTCCTTTTCAAAAATAAATTTAATTATGAATGATTTTTGAAGTTTGAGTAATAAACGTCATAATGATCTGTGAGACTAAATTGTTAACTGCTACTCCATGGTGGGAGTTTTAGTTTTTTAGTTGTGAGTTTATTACTTGGCTACAGCTGAGGTGAACAAAAGTTAGATAGTCAAGTTAAAGGGAGATAACTGAGACATCCGGAAAATTCATATCATGTGTAGCTAGAACAATCTACTCCGATGAATGAAATAAAGGGTTCAGTTTGAAATTCCAATCAAGTGAAGACAGCAGAGTGTACAACAGCAAAAATGTTGTGAATATGGCAACAAAAATGAGGACAACAGTCTGAATAATGTAAATAGTGTAAATAATTTTTAGTTTTGCTTGGGTTGACAATCAAACTTACTATAGGAATAAAGTTCTGAAAAAATAAATTGTTAACTTCTACTCCCTTGTAGAGTTTTTTGATTTTCTCTATAATAACATATTTTACAGACAATAAAATTGGAATCTAATATTTCAATAGAGAAGATGTTTAGGGTCAGTTTGGATTTATGCAGTCAGAGAATAAAATTATTGATATGAAAAAAAAAATGGATGCTTTTCTTAACACAGAACTTATATGAGTATTTCCATCATAAAAGCAGAAAATGTTATAATGATCTGTAGGACTAAATTGTTAACTATGGTGAGATTATTAATTTTGTTTTGGGTTGACAGATTTTATTACCAATAAGATTTAAGTCTTACAAGAGAAGATGGCTTCAGTCAATTATAACTCATGTAGTCAGAGGTAAAATTTATTATTTTATCTGCTTGTTTCAATGTATAATTCACATGAATATTTCCATTATAAAAGCAGAAAATGATAAATGTAATATAATCACCAAAATGGTTTCCAGAAGAGTTGCTTAATATTCATTGAGAGTAAAATTCATAAATCAATAGTAATATTTATTTAGACATTTTAAAACTATTTTACAATCTAATTTTTCAAATGACTTTTAATTGGATCAGAAATATATACCACTTTTGTATTTGGTAAAAGTTTTCATACTGACCTAAAGTCAATTCAAAAGTCCTTTGGCCAACCAGATTGATAACTTTTAAAGAATAAATCTGGACTATTTTCTCATTTATTTTCAGTTCCAAAATGCTGCACTTGCCAGGAAAAGGAAATAACCCCTCTTTTGCAGGGATGTAAAAAATTGTATCAAATGGCATTTCCTCATTCCCTTTGTACCATATCATTTGAGTAGCTTCAGGATAGCAATAAAAACAGATTTTCAAAAGTTTCTCAGATCCAACATTTGCAGTTTCATTTTTATTACCTTGAAAATGTGCTGCAACTGTAAAAGAGAAATATTTACAATAATGAAATAACATATATTATCATGCAGAAAAGAATGAATCTTATTTTTATAACAAAAACCTATACAATTTAAAAATTAATAATTTCAAAATGCATTTAAAATATATAGTAATATTACTGGATTCAGTAAAAGTTAAATCTTATAACTGTGTTATATAGGAATAAAGTGTCACTGTTGACACTGGAGTTTGAACACAAATCACCAGGGAGCAAACACAGGCGATCCCATTTTGAATAAGTAGATCACGTGATGGTAAAGGAAATGTATATATGGGAATTAGTGTAGCATATAAGTGATCACTATATGGATTAATATTTTGATCACTATTCAGTGCTTACTATTTGAGCAAGTATTATCGAGCAAGTACTATTAGTGCAAGTGTTATTCAAAAAGCATCTGACACCAGTATTGCTCAACGGTGTTACTATAGTTGTATCTGTGATTACAAAGTCTCTACTACGACGAGCATTACAAAAGTGACACTGCATATTTGTTGACATTACAAAATTGGAAATGAGTGTTTATCGACATCATAAAATAAGTGTTTGTGATATTTAAAGAATGTCAGTTATGAAAACAATATGGCCAAATTTTAATAATGAAACCTCTGGTTTGAACATTTGAATAAAAAAAAGATACTGACTACACTTAGAAGGAGCATTTCTTCAGAAAGGTAGTTTAGGTGACATCAAAATATTGTTATGAGAATTGAGTGATGCAAATAGACGCACCAACAGAACTGAGCATAGAAATATCTCTTGAAAATTCCTACTTTTAGGAAGAGTGTTGCTTCAACTGGTCAATGGAAGGCAAGCAAAAAGTAATGACAGTTATGCCTCTTCATAGTTTGGAGTCTAGTGAAATGAAAGACATGATTAAACGCTACAACACCTTTCCACACTGCAAGGCTCATGCTACTCTATGGCTATTTCCATGGGATGTGTTCAAACAAGCTACAATCTTGCCTACTTTTGTCATTGAAAACTAAGAGAGAGAGAATTTGATTTTGTTTCAATTAGTGGCCTGTTCTGGTGCATCATGGAAGTATGCTATGTTTATTTAACTTTTTTTATAATCTAACCTTCTTGTTCTTCTCTATATTTTAAAGTATTTTTATTATTTAACTTTTAATTTTTTTTTCTAATTGATTATTTTAGTTTCATACACTTACATAGTGTAGTACTAAATATTTGGGGTTATTTAGTAATTTATTTGGTGATATACCTATAATCTAAGTACTTATAAACAGCCCTATAGTTCTATATTGAAAACCCAATGTTAATTTTTATCCTCTGATAATATATTTATATGATGAATGTGTAATTCTACAAATTATACTCATGGACATTAATTACTTAAAAATAAAACTAAAAGAACTCAAAAGTTAAAAACAAAACAAATGACTAAATATGTTCGATAGAATTTAATGGCAGATTGAAAGTAACAAACCTCAGAAATTAGAAAAGCTACATTAAAAGTTAAAAGTTTTATAAATATAAAATTCTTTTATAAATCCTAAACATATCAACCAAGGAGTAAATCCTTTAGCTTCATCACTTTTTGGTATTTATTGGTACTTATTCATCACTAATTAATAGAGCTCAATGTAGACAAAAAACAACAAATATTTATTTGAGCTTGTCTGCCACATATTTTGGAGTGCCTGAAATATCATGGAATCAAGGGGGAATAAATAATAGTTTTAAAAAAAGAACAATTTTTGTTGCATTTCTAGTGACTCAGCCAGACATGAAAAGAAGTGATTTGTGGTACTGGCAGAATTCTTCTACAGGAATTGAAAAGGAAGCTAATCAGTTGAGTCAGTGGAGTAAGAAACACATTGTTAGAAGAATTAGATAAGATTTCCAGCATATATTATTTTTTGTTTTTTTCAAGCATTATGCCCTGAGCACGGCGTGAAGCCACTAGGATGCAGGGGGTTGCAGAAGATTTGGAGCAAGAGCAGATAAGAGTGATAGAAGAAAGGATGAGGAGAGGGATAGTGGATAGATCAAGGTAATTGGAGATGTTGATTGACATTACATTTGAATAGTTGGAGATTATAGCTCTCAGGGAAACAGTAATAGGGAAGGGTGTTCCACAGGTGAGAGGTGTGAAGTATGAAGCTATTGGAGTAGAAGAGACTGCTACATTTAAAAGTTTCTACAGTGTAAGGGTGGGAGCGGGATGCCAGGCGCTTGAATTCATGGAGTCTGGGAACCAGTGAAAGCTGCTCATCGGAGCAATTACCATGAAAGTATTTGTAGAAAAGACAGAGAGAGGCGACGGCGCGTCTGTGAGAGAATGACTGTAGATGAGACACCAGATCAGAGCCAATTATATTACATATCCGTCTCTGGATCTTGTCAAGAACTCCGAGGTAAACAGAAGGTGCCCCAGACTATATATGGCAGCAATACTCCATGCATGGGCGAATGGTTGTTTTGTATATTTGAAGTATCAATTCCGGAGAGAAAAATTTCCTTGCGGTGGAAGAAGCAATTGACTCAATGTACACAAAATATTACTATCATCATGGGAGAGATAAATACAAAAGATAGTGAATTAATCTGCAAGTATAGAATTGCATTATGTAACAAACAGGAAATAAACAAGGAATAAGTGACACTTGGTTTGAAGAAATTGAAAAAGAAGCTATATACTAGAGCCAGTCATAGTAAGACACACATCCATACATAAGTGGATAAGTTTGGATAAGTTTTTTCATTATACTAAATAATACTAAATGTCAGTACAAATCACATGAAATTACCAACATTATAAGAAAGCTAACTACTAAAGTTAGTGAATTAATCTTCAAGTATGGAGCTGCTGGGCAGGACACATCCACAGGATGGATCCTTCTAGGCTTCCCAAGAAAATCCTATATGGCGAGCTGGCCATTGGGATCAGACCATGAGAAGCACCTAAAATGCGCTACAAGGACCAACTAAAGTGCACTCTGACACTTACCAACATCAGCTCGTCCTTGTGGGAAGAAACTGCCAGGGACCGAATGACGTGGAGGAGATCAATATGCAATGGCATTGCGGACTTTGAGGAAAGGAGAAGGGAGAATGAAAAGGCAAGGTGATGAAGAAAAAGAGAGCGCTGTGAATGACCCCGTCCTCCTCCTCCCCTCCCCTGTGAGCACTGTCCGTGACTATTCCCCCACCGACTGGGCCTCGCAAGTCATGTCAAACATTAACATCAACCATGAAGCTAGGACATGAAGGATTGACAGAACCTGATACTCGGACACAACTGGGAGCCAACGATGATGGACTTGCATTGTGTAACAGAGAATGTTAACATAAAACACTGAGACAAATAATTATCAAACCAAGGTTATATATACTGACCATTTAATTTAATTTCAGTAGATTTCTCACTATAATAGTTCTTTTTAGGTATATCATTGCTTGCGAGGCATATCCAGGTTCCCATGTCTTGGAAAGAAATATTTTGGATAGTCACATGGTTCTTTGGAATATCTTTTTTGATTATTGTCCCCCATTTTTGAACCATTCTGTATTGTATATTATTGGGATTTGCATGAGCTGTGCAATTGATCTGGGCTTTTTGTTGTAAGTTGGTGACATTATGACGAATAGTAATTACTGGTGAATCTGGAATGAGAAAAGACTTTCTGAATAAAAAATATGAATATATTTTTAAGAATGGAATAAAAATTATAAATTAAACCCATTTCAAACACACAAATACAAAGGAATGAATATGTGCAGACCATTAAATTGTTAATAAGATTGTCTTTTCAAAATTTGTTGAATAAAAATGATTTTATGGTGAGTAAAACATTTATGTGGGAAAAACATATTCAAATCTTAAGGGATTGGGTGCTTGGAGCAAGAGGGAGGAAGAGAAAGAGGAAGGAAATGGCTGTCCTTTTAAAACTTAAACAGTGCAACCTAATAGGCATTTTTGGTAAAACAAAGTTGGGGTGAGAAAATTTCTGGATCCTTTATTACTAGCATTATGGAAAAATGTATTTCATTTTCTTTTTTTTTTTTTTTTCATTATTATTATTTTATTTATTGATTTTATTTAATTTTCCCACAGGTGATTAGAAAGTAAATAAATTTTCTTCATCACTTTCTCTATTTTAATTTTACAAAATTATCTGACCTTTTTCTTTGACCAATCAGCTGACCTCTGTCATTCTATCTTGACTAATATAAAAAAAATAATAGCATTTAATTTGATACAAAAATACTTACATGTAACAAAAATGGAAATGTTTTTAGAACTTTTCAAAATACCATGTTTGGAGCTGTTAGCTGTTGCAATGCATTGAACTTTACTTACATTAGAATGAGTAAAAGAAACTTGCAACAACTTAGACTTGTAAATCTGGTTTCTAATTTTCCAGGTTATTGTTGGTTTGGGATTACCTTCTGCCAGACAACTAAATTCATTTGTTTGATTTTCAATCACTGTCATACTATCAATTGTATTTATGATGGGATAATCTGAAAATATAAATAAAGGATAAAGATCATCTTGAGATTTATGAATGAAATGGAAAAGTTCAGAAGGTTTTTGAAAACTGAATTTTATGTTAATATTCTCTAAGGAACAAACTAGGATTAAAATTTTAACAATGTGTAATGGTCAAAATTCAGAATATATACATAGTTGTGTGAAAGGTGGCAGAAATTGTTCCTATGTGGTTCCTTAGTTGTTGTTGGTAAGCAAAGCAATTAGGCATAAGGGTGTTGTTGGTAGTGCCAGAAGTTGTCTGATTTTTATGGGTTGGTTGACTGAGGTTACAGTTGGAGTCAGGAGATTGTATGGAATCGATTTATGAAGTTAAGTAGGTGTTGTTGGTGGGTTTGATGTACACCTTTTTTATGTTTGAAATTGATACCTGTGAGGTTTTTGATAGACCAATGGCCATGTGTTGAAGTTGAACTGTTAGCCATGAGTGTCTTTCTTATATCTTTGTTATAATAGGTGCAGGCTCCCAGGTAAATCCTTTTTTTTTGGTGGGAATGGTTGTGATTGACCATTATATTTTTGTATTTTTTCAGGGATCTGTTTTGTGGACCAGATATGATGTTCAGAGCAACTGTGTGAAAAAAAAAATTATTTTGTGTTTTTCTTTCTTAGTACTTACATCCAACAGATATGTATGGTGAAATGTATTTGTAAATCAGAAAGAAACCTTGAATAAGTAGTATAACATGGATCTAGTTGGAGGTAAGGATTATCTCTATCTATAAAAGACAGGATGTGTGTGTCTGTGTGTGTGTGTGTAACGAATGCACGGCCGCAATTTTCGATGGGTTTTCACCAAAATTTACATGCACATGCTCTAAGTTAGCAGAAAGGCCAAGACCAACTTTGCATTTCCCAACTCCTATCGATAGTGGAAATAATTGATTTTTCATGCTTCTGTGACAGTTTTCATATAGTTTGCAGCTATTTTCTACTGGCCAGAGTGAGAGCATATAGCTGGCTGCCACGAATAGGCAGGAAGATTCTATTGGCCAGCATGAGAGCCAACAGCTGACTGACATGAATGTTAACTAGCATGCTAACATGCAAAAAAATTCAGTAGCTGCATTCGTCACAAGTGGGAAAAATTTAAATCTGCATGGCACTTTACTCCAATTGGCTCATTTGCTTGCTTAAACTTAACGTTGATTCTGATTCCGCAGAACTGGGTTGGGTGTGAAAAAGTATTTGTTGTTAACATTCTTTTTTCATTTGGTTTTTCCAGTTACAAGTCCTTTTTCAAAGCTGATCGTTTTGTGTTCATTTTGTTTAGTTCTTTTTTCGTAACAGATTTAATGTTTAGTATAGAGCTTAGAAAAAATTTGCAGTGTAAGATAGACAAGAAGTAAGGCATGTAGCAACATCAGCACGGCAAAGGGTACTCCTTTAAGGAAAGACAAAAATATTTTAAGTCAAGTGATAGTGATTTCTGTATGAGTTGTGTGATTTTTGTATCAAGCATGGGCAACACCGGGCCATGCTACTAGTTTCTAATAGAAATTAATTAAGGAAAAACAGGAGAATGGAACAAGAAAATTCCCACCCCCATAATATAGCTACTGCTATTTTTTTAAATATATTTTCATGGCAATTGTTCTGATGAGCTTTCCTCTTTGATACCTCAAATTCATGAGTTTAATCATAGTACTAGATTGGTAGCTAGGTTTCATCATTTTATATATGAAATTTCTAAATGTAACCATAAGTACTATTGTAATAGTTTCTTCTCTAATGCTTCTTGCCTCTGGAACTGTTTTTTATCTTTTTACTTTCTGCCAACTCAGTCAGTTAAGTGTCATACACAATACATGCTTGAGTGATCATGTCTCTTTCAATTCATGGCTAAGTAGAAGATTTTCCAGCAGCAGGTTGCCATTTCTTTCTGTGATAGACTGGTTGCTAACCAAGGCTATAGGATCCAGTCTGTCCTGCTATTCAACCAATAGTTGGGGAGAAAATCTGCACTATGACAGAAGCAGCAGAACTCAATCATGGCTGTCAGACAATTTCTGTGACCACATCCGAAGTAGTCTGGAGGCCATGGTTGAGCCAATGGCATTTTTATTGAATAAAGTTTACTCTTTAAAATTCCAAGATATTTTTGTGTAATTTAGATAAATATATCTGTTAAAATATCTGTTATTTTCATTTTTGTGTAATTTAGACGACAGTTGATCCATCGCACCCTCTACATCTAAGGACTGGTTATTAACAAGCACCTTCAAGGACCCATTAAGAAGATCTTGACAACTGAGAAAACTCTTTCAATGATTCCATAGCTAGAGAGCTTGTGCCATAGCCCTCAATACTGCACCTTGTGAAAGGCTTTTGAAATATCTAATGTTATCGTCCTTGAAATGTATTTTTTTTGTAGTACCTCACTGATTTTGTGAGTAATGTCATTTAAGCTATCAGCAATCGGCCAAGCTGATTGAAATCCGTACTGTTGTGATCAACAAAATTTTTGTTGATCATGGCATCGAAAAGTTTGCTAAAGACACTGGGAAGGCTGATGTGTCTATACTGAAACAGAGGTGAACACTCATCTACTTACTTGAAAACAGGGAATACGCTTGACATCTTCCACAGACTAAGGAAGGCAGTGAAATAATTTTGCTAAGATTGGGGATAAATCAGGGTTAATATTCTTAATAATAACCATTGGGATTTTATCTGGATTACTAACCTTTTTAGGGTTAAGACTTTTTATATATCTTTAGACTACTTGGTCTGTGATAAAAATATTACTGCAATTGTGCTCAGTGAGATGGAGGAAACCAGCAAGGGAATGGTCATTGTCATCTAGTGTTGAGACAGAAGCAACAATCATAGCAAAGAGCTTTACTTTATTTGATAAGTATGAAATGACCTGAGGGCCATTTCTAATGGTACACACTGACACTGCATTTAAAATTTGGTTGGAGATCTTCCAGAACTCCCAGGTTCCAAATTGTTTGCTTTTGACCTCCTTGGCCTGGACTGCTTTGTGCATTGCTACACTTTGCATTTCCTAGAACTCTCTTGCAATGATTACAGGCAGTTCTGAATGCAGCAAGTATCCTTCTATGCCATTCTCTGTGATTGATATTGTAGTGGTGGTTATGGTGAGCTATGTCTTCAGCACATTCAAGGCTGACTGTTCAGTTTTTCTGGAATTTTTTCTGGGGTATAAAACTCTCAATTCCAGAAATGATCCATTCTTATGGAGGCAGTATGTTTGAAGAAGACTGAGTGTGTAGTGACTACTACTATGTTTGTCACACCTACATTTTTCTCAACTGTGATTGGTTAAATAATAAATACTGTTTACCACAGGACAATTTACTAATCGCAGTCACCACACTGAATTTTTTCTGCCATGAATTTCACAAACATGCTTTTGTTAGAAAATCACCAATTGGTTAATTTTTCATCCAATCATATATTTTCTGTGTTCATTCAATTTCTCCCGCCTTTGTTTCCTGGATCCTACCAATAGTTATAAAAGCAATGTTTTGTTCCAAAAATAGACAGTAGAATTCAGCAACTCACACGTGTCTACACAGACTATTTATTCTACTCACTGCACACACACAGACACAGAACTTGAATTACATTTCACCATCCATTTTCTGTGAACAAGCCAAGTTACAAACCAACACTCTGTTAGTTATACAATTAACACACAACTGAATTAACTGTATGTATTTCTGAATGCAACATTCTATTTCAACATAGAACTTTGAACATTCTATTCAAGAAACATCCTTAATTACATTTTATCTTATTCAAGCTAACAGATGAAGGGAAATTACTTTCTTTTCTTTAATATTCACACATTACAAAAATTGTTTTGTATTTGTTGATTTTAATATATATTTTATTGTTGAAACAAAAATCGTTTTCTATTTGTTTTTCCTTGATTCAATAATGTATAAATGTTAAATGCTCTTCAACATGCAGCCACATTAATCTCTTCAACATAGTACACAAGCAGCATTTACAAGTGAGAAGCATCTGCTGTATAAGTTCTGAAGCTGTCCCAGTCAGCTTTCATGTATTGAAAAACCATCTTATAGGTATTTAGAAGTGTGCAAACCTACACACACACATAAACACACACACATACATAAGTAGCAGAGAAGGTTTTATGCATGATTAAAATTTTAACTTTAAAGTTTTAAATTTAAAGTCTTGTTTAGGAATAACAGAAAAACAAACATGTAAAGCTATTTTTGTTTATTTTTTGCTCAGCTTTCAGAGAAGAAAATAATGAATTAAAAAATAAAAAGCACAAAATTAACCAATATTTTCTGAAATGAAAGGCATTAAGAATGAATAATTATAAATTTTGTATTCAAATAATTTTGCTTCATACAAAATATCAATGTTAAAACAAATAAAATTTGCCAAAAAAGACCAAAAAAACTTACATTCTACATTGAGTTTTATGGTTGAAGATACAGGATTACCTCCCTTACATTTATGATGCGCATAGCAAGTAACTGTTTTTTTGTTCAAGGTTCGAGACAAATGTGTTTTAATCACATTTGAAGGAGGATATTTGCCAGGTGACCATGTGTAACTGTAAACTTCAGGATTACCACCTGATGCCTCACAAATTAGTGAGGTAGTTTGACCTTCAAGATATGATGTCTGAGCAATTGTTACTTTATTTGGAGGATCTGTAAAAAAAAGAATAGAAAATTATGTGATATTTTCATCGATAAAGGGAAAGATATGCTAGAGAGTGACTTAAATTATTAGCAGAAAAAAAAGTCTGCATAAAGTTATATAACAAATAGATAGATGCATATGTTCATCTTCATTCAAAAAAAAGACAACTCAAAATATCTTGCATGTTCAACAGAAGATAACATTATTTTCACTATTTATATTCAGACTGCTGTCATCATTTTGTTGTAGTTATCACAATGTTTAGGCTGCTGTGCCCTCCAGCCTTCATCAGACGTATATTGTGTACCAAATTTGCAACATAGAGAGATATGAAACCTAAGTTTAAAAAAATAAAAGATAGGTTTGCTTAAATAGGAACACCTGACACAGATGGCAATGAGCAACAAATACAGCATGAACATTTGTAAAGAATTTTATTTAAGAATTGAACCTGTATTTAAGACATAAATATAAAAAGAACGTATAAACATAAAAAAATGTCTTAAATAATTGTCAGACTTTGTTCATTTCATAATGTATGACGTCATTTGTTTACATTTGGATACACATTGAGCAGACATGAATGAATGAGAGAAAATCATGGAGAATTGTGTTTAAAAACAGTAAAATTGACCTTGCTAACCGAACGCTTCTCTTTGGTGCAATCGGTTAAGGCAGGTCAGGCTAAATGACAGTTCTGTATAGGATACAGGTTCGATTCCTCTCGGAGGAAACATATTTTCTATGAAAATTTCTTGGACATTCAGGCTGGTAAATGTTGTTAATACTGTTTATTATAAACAGAGAATTTACTTAAATATTTGTATCCGTAAAAAGAATGTATAAACATAAAAAAATGTCTTAAATAATTGTCGAACTTTGTCCATTTCATAATGTAAAACAATTTTAAATAATAAAAAACAACAGTATATGAAAAGTGTATGGGAAAGCAGATATAAAATCAATAAGCAACACTTATCTGATGCCAGGTCTTAAGTCAAGTATTTGTAATTCAGGAATTTTTTATTCAAATGTTCATAATGGCAAACAGACAGAATATCTTTAAAATGTCCAAAAAAAAGGTGGTAGTTCTTCTTTCTACCTTCTGAGATATAAGACTCCAGAATAGTATTTGTATTTCATTTCCCCTCTAGTAATCAAATTACATCCAAGATAAAATTGGGATGATTTCTTTTGGTATAATATTCACTTATTCTCTATAGATCTATAGTTGAATACATCCACGGTCTTTGGGAATATCTTCTTATTCACTACACATTGAGTAGTTGAATAAATCCAGGATCTTAAAGGATCTTAAATCCTCAAAGTCATTCAAGATATCTTCCAACAAAAGATAGACGAAACCTACAGAAAATGTAGAGTTGCCATGGGAATTGTAGACTTCATACAAATCCATGGCAAAGATGAAGGAGACCATGGCCTCCACTTTCATAAGGCAATCAAAAATACAAGGAAAGCTGGTATCAAGTTAAATGCTCAGAAATGTGTCATCAAAGTGGAAGAATCTCAGTTCTTTGGAATGATATAAAAGCTCACTGGAATAAAGCTAAACTCAGAAAAAATTAAAACCATAATCAAAATGAAATCACCAAAACATAAAAAAAAACTGCCAAGTTTTCTTGGCATGATTCAGTACATGAACTCATTCACTTCAAAGATGTCAGACTTTGTAGAAAGCCTTAGAAAACTGATAAAGGATGATGTGGAATTCCAATAGATGGCAGCCCAAGAGAAACACTTTGATGAACTAAAAGAAATAATTATATGAGAAATAGAGCTCTGCAAAAACAAGCCAGTAGTGTTACAGGTAGATGCATCTATAATAGATCTACAGGCAGCATTAGAATAAGAAGGAAAACCAATATAAGCAATAAGCTAGAGCAGCTTATAAACCAGACCAATAAAGACCAAGTGCTACAGATACTCTCACAGTCTATTATACAAGGGTGACTAATAAAACAGCACCAGATACAAGCTATGATACAACAGTACTGGTCTATCAAAGATGACATCTCATCAGAGAATGTTGATTTGTTAGCAGGAACACATGTTATTATCCAGAACATTACAAACAGGAATCCTTCAGGAAAATCCACCAAGGAAGGTGAGGAATAGAAAAATGCAAACTGGGAACAAAATCTGCAGTGTACTGGGCAGGAATATACAAAGATATTGAAAAAATGGTTTCAGAATATAATAGATGCCAAAAATAAAAAAAACTTGCAACCAAAAGAAGACATGATTTCCCCAGAAAAGCATCAAGAAGACCATACTACATATTAAGAGCAGACCTGTTAGATCAAGAATGGTATCTAAATATGGTCTGTTACCATCTGCTTAGTAATTCAAGTAATATTTGTCTCTTATTACGTTTGGACAGATATATAAAAAGATATCAAGAAAAGGTTGCAGAATGTCACATGGTAGTTTTTTTGTTTTGTTTTTAATTAAGTTAATCCGAAGCAAGGCAATTGAAGCAACTAAGACACAAGATATTACTGGGTGTGGATGATTAAGTCAACAGTATTTAAATTTATTCATCATCTATTGATATCCTCTGAAACATTGTATATTTTTATATGATGATCACAAATGAGTAAGAATATCATAAATCTATCATTCTTTTTTCACTGAAACCAAGTCTGATAAGTCTTTTGTCCCTATGATCAAAACAGATTAGTCCATTATTCATAATTTATTGGAAGGGTATAACAGTTGTGTGGACTAACAAAGGAAGTGATAATCACAATTATTATATGATGATTACCAATGAATAAGAATAACACAAAATAAGATTTAAATGATGTCAGCAAGATAATTTTGTTATCTTCTTAAAATTTATATATAAATGGGATTTGTTATATCATTAAACAAACACCAATACTAACCACAAGAACAATAAGTCACAAGGCCATGCAGGGTGGGGGGAGGATATACAATGATTATGTAGTTTTTAAATCAAACCTGTAAATAAATTTCCAAATTAAGATATAATGAAAATGAAATTAAGTATTTGTTATTATTAACAAATGTATAACACAAAACATAATACAAGGTATGAATTTCACAAAGATTGGCATTACATAATGTGTTTAAATTTTGAACAGATAAAGTCACAAAAACATTGATTAATATCAAATGGTGCTAGATGTGTTAAACAAGCTCAAATAAAATTAATTAAATGAATCATTCATTTTAAATCATTATTTGAGTGTAACAGAAAGTTATTTTGAAATTAAAATCATTCACTGTCAATAAATATTGAGACGTTTTCTGGTTGAATCATCTATTTTAATATGAATACAAATTACAAATTCAAATTTCTTTTTCTTAACATACTCTATTTTTGATGGGAACAAAACTTTGAACTTGCCTGAGTTCAAACAAATCATGATAAAATTAAAATACCTTTAATAATTACCACCTTTCCATTTGCCATATTTAGGAAGTGACGAGTTTCTGAATTTTAGAAGTGGATTAAGTTGAATCACAATGCAACTTTTGGTTAAAATAAGGCAAAAATATTTAATTCAGTGAATCATTCAATTTTAAAATCATTTTAACAAATACAATATCTGTCGATAATATTGCTCAAGCCTGAAGTGTTCATCCTTTTCTTAAGACACTCGTTTTTTAACACTAACAGAACTTTGTCCTTGTCTGATTTCAGATAAAACAATAAAATTAAAATAACTTCAGGATTATTACCTTTCCATTTACCATATTGAGGAAGTGATTAATTTATCAATTTTAGAATTAGATTAGGTTGAATTACAATGCAACTGTTGATTAAAATATGACAAAAGAATTTCATCAGTGAATCATTAATTATTTTTAACCATTTTTGAAGCAAATTAAAAGATATTTTATAAATTAGAATCATCTACTTACACTGAATATCCAGTTCTTCAGTCACATTATCTTCTTTAACAATATGTGTTCCTTTACAAATACAAAATTGACTCATATCTTGAGTCACATTTTTTTTTATGCTAACAGAACTTTGTCCTTTTTTGACTTCAGAAAGACATGATAGTTCTACAGTAGCTTCAGGATTACCACCTTTCCATTCACATTTAATTTCTGTAGATTTCCCTGCACATATTCCAGATTGGGACAAAATGATTCTTGGCTTTCCTTGAGGTGGATCTGTTAACAAGAAAATATAGTGAGTATAAAGAAATATTATTTCTACTTTCATCCATAAATCTATTTTATGATTTTAACAAACAGGAATTATGATTCATTTTATAAACAAACAATGTTAGAAAAACTTCACAATGGATTATAATCCATTATAGAGAGCAATTAATGAATTTATACAGAGATTTCCAAGCTTTCTAAATTGATGATACACTTTTTACCAATGCATTAATTTTGTTTTATTAATGAAGCAAGTATATACTTTAAAATGTCTATAGATACAAATAATTCAGTGAAAATTTTACTTAATAATTATAGAATGAATTACTGTATTTTCTGTATTACAAGACGCAATTTTTTTCCTAAAAAGTACCCTAAAGTAAGCTTGGATGGTCATCTAATTGGCTTGACTGAGAGGGATGTGGATTTCTATATTGAGTCATTACACTATAATGTTAGCTATCTAATTCAGCTTTTTATATGATGCAACCTCAGTACTTAGCTGTTACAAGTATTTCCAAGACTATAAACCTTCCTGAAGTTGAACCACAAGCTTAAACATAATCTGTTTACTAGAGTGGTGGATGGTAGTGAGGATCATTTCTTGTACATGACTGACAGTAGAGATGACTCTGCAGATGATAGTTTATGATTTTTACATGAATCCAGCAGTGACGAGTTTGAGGATGAATAAAATTTCTTTGAGTGTTTTATATTTTTACATGCATAGTTTTTAAATTTTTAATTTATTTTTATGAAAATAAAACCACCCTTGGACAATGAAAGATGTATATTTACCAACCACCAATTAGTATGTCATTGCCATACAAACAAAATTAGATGAGAGATTAATGTAAACAATACTTGGCATCAGAATGTGAGGGATGCATGGTGAATGTGTTGTTGTATGAGAAGGAATTTCTTTTCTTAGAAATTTCTTTCCAATATTAGGTTGCATCTTCCAAGCCATAACGTCATGTTAGCTGGAAAATACAATATGCAAAATGTTTCAGTTTGGAAAGGTCTGAGTTAATATATTATTTAAAATATTGAGTGTACAAAAAAATGAACAAAAATATGTAATAATGTATAACAAAGATATATTCATTATTATTATCAAGAGATAGAAACATTTATTTTTAAGGTAATTTATGATTGTTTGTCTCATTGGCTGTTGTGATGCATCTAATGTGGTAGTCTGTAGTGGTAGTGCTTGTCGTTTCTTGCTTTCAGCTACCACCACTGGCTAGCAGCAATGTGAAAAGGGGAGCCTAGTGCATAAGTCCCCTGCTAGTATATAGCCTCTCCATCAGCAAGCCCTATGTAGCGCCTCCTTGTGGCAACACATGGCAACTGAGCACCATATGGACTCGCGCTAAACAACAGGGGACGGGGAAGGAGTTTGACCCCCTTAACATGCAGCATGCAGGCCCACCAGTGTGTGGATATGCCCTGGTGCCCATGAACCAAACCCCAGCTATGGGTTAAATAGCTCCACTGCCTTGTGGAAATCTTTGGGAGAAGAAAAGGGTAAGGAGTAAACCCTACACAAATCCGGAGTGGAGCCCCTAAGGCGGATGGACGGCACTCTGTGCTACCTTCTGGCAACTCCTGCAGCCATGCTGGTACCAAACTGTATTGGTTCATCCTTTCCTTTGGACTCTATTAGCAAGGCCGAGAGGGAACTAGACGTCCGGGCAACCCTAGTTCTCCATACATCCCACCCAGGCTTGTGGCGCACTGGAGAGGATGCAATGTATCTCCATAGCCTAGCATCTTCAGAGCCACTCCATCGTCTCTCAAGACGGACAGATGCCACCTCCACCATGGATGACGACAATGACTGTTTAATCAAACAGAAGCAAATAAAAAATTAATAAATGTACATAAAAGTGATGATAATTAATTAATGATCTTCTTGGAAGTCCAGAAATTAATTGTTGATTCAAAGGCAGATATATTTATTAAAATTAAAAGAAAGGGAAAAAATATACAATCATTATAATTGACAATTAATAAAAAAATAGTGGGTAGGATAGTAAAAATAAAACCAGAATATCTAATATTGAAAAAGAAAGTTATATTTATTATATACTATATGAGAGAGATAGAAAAATTTATTTTTATAATGGTCCCCAATTGTTTAATCAGAATGCAATCACAGGAAAACTTAATAAATATAAATTTTGATTATTTGATTATTGCTATTAAAACAAACTTAATGGAAGAAAGAAGAAAAAATATTATTACTGTAAATGATAATTCAAAAAAAGAAAAGAGGAATAAAATGGACAGCTGACCGGTTTTCATTCCTCTCTCTTCAAAACTGCATTGAGGAATCCTATTATAATTGTAGTGGTACTAATGTTAATAGAAAACAATTAACATGAGTGCTAAAAATATAGAAGATTTTATTTCCTTTTCTTTTTACAACACAAGAGCTTAGAGAAATATCTGAGAACAAAAATTAATTGTTCCTGTTTTGTTTTTCTTTAAAGTTATAGAGAAATATCAGCAGCAGTGTGGTGTTAAAAGCATTATCGCTAAGTTGAGAATCATAATTTGATACTGTTCATTCAGTGGTCAAATGAGTGAGCTGCAGTGAGACACAGTTGTATTCATCTTGCTGGACAAGTAAACTGTTCTGAAGTGGTTTGAAAATATCCCCATTATTTAAATGTTCTGATGGGATCACACACATGCACGTTAGTTCTACAAATTTCTTAGGAAGCGACCACATATTTTTTGTACACCTGATTGATCAAAAAATGTGGTCGAGTGTTTTAGTTTTTAGAAAACATGCATAGGCGCTTTTATATATTAAGAATTGTGCTAAAGTTGATCCCATTTTTCTTGAACATTCCTTGACAGGAAATTGCATAATTTCTTATATAACTGTTTTTGTCCTTCTCTTCGTTAGTTAGCATGACTGTTATGTCCTGTCAATACCTCATAAATAATGGACTATTCTGTGTCTTGATGGTGTGGAAGCGGGGGAAAAAATATTGTTTGTGCCTGTGAGAAAATGAAAGAGAGTAGGGAAGAAAGAAGAAGGGAGTAAATCAGGTTAAGTTGATTAGAACAGATACTACACTTTGATCTCAACCAAAAGGCTGAGAATCAATAGTGACAATAATTAATTGCCATTTTTAAGATGCACAGGAATTGATCAATGGTACCAAAAATCTAATTACCATAAATTAAATAAAATAACATTGTTTGCTGAATTATTTTAAAATTATTATTAAGAGAAATTTTCATAAGGATTTGGTTAGAAAGAAAGAAAGAAAGAAAGAAAGAAACAAAGAAACAAAGAAACAAAGAAAGATAAACATGTTTAACATCTCTTGCCAATACCTCATAAATAATGGAGTATTATGTTTTGATTGCATGGAAAAAGGAGAAAAGATATTACTTGATTTCAGTGAGAAAATTAAAGAAAAAAAGAAAGAAAGATAGAAGTGTTTACAGTGAAATGGAAAAAGTTGTCAATTTCAAATCATTTTATTTCTACCCACTTCTTAAAATAATGACCAGATTTTTATTGCATTATTTTGTTAAAGTTGTTAAACTCAAATATTTAACAATGCAATAGAATTTCTATGGATATTTTATTGTCATAGAACTGGCTATGAACTTATTCAATTATTAACTTAAGAATTAAGATTCATCAGAAATTTGAAAAAGGGAAATCATGAAATTTTCACAGGTCTTTCTAGTTAAAATTAATATGACTCATGATGAAAAATGGAGAAATATTGTAAATGAGGATTTTCACACTGTGTGTTAAGCATATATGCGTTATAATTTCTCTGCATGGGGCAAATGTAAATATGTGTATGTAATTTTGTGTATGACTTTCTTTGAAAACAAAGCATGTTTGTCATTCCTTTTTTTTTCAGCAATTCTCTTCCTTCTGTGTATTAATGTGTTATTATATCATAGGCATAATAATGCCAGTAATGGGGAAAATATAAACTGTGAGAATATTCCTTTCTTCCTTAGCTCACCCATTATGTGGTGACTTACATGATGTGATGTGATATTATTAACCCTGACGTGATATAATATTTGCACCCCATATGTATAAATATAACAAACAAATCACATTAAGGCCTGACATATATACCTTTTTACACAAAGAAGGTTGCACGGATCTTTTGAATAACAGTCTGAATTTGACACGCTTAAAACAGGAAACATATCCTTATGATAGGAAACCTCTGAGCCTGAACAAAGATTATTGTCCAATGTCTGCCTCTGAACCATACATAATAACTCAAAGTGACCTTTTTTATTTACAGCAAAGTTTACCCTGTACAAGGTCTATGGGCCAATTGAGGTAGAGGGTTATGTTAAGTGGTAGTTTATATGGATAGGAAGAGAAGATAAGAGTTAACTTTAGACTTGAACAGGTTAAGATTGTAGTGATTGGGGAAAACATCCTGCTTAAGAGTTTATTCTTAAGCAGTTCCAAATCTCCAATTCCAAATCCTAGCAGAACTGCTAGGTTCCAGATTACAGCAATGAAATCTATTAGCTGGTGATGTACGGATTTCACATTTCCATGATTGTCAACAGGATCTAGTTCGATTCTCCCTCATTGAAGCTAATTGGGTTTATGTAATGATATCACTTGCCTTATGCACTCAATACCAGTTATAGTCAATGCGCCCGGCCAATTTTTCGGCTGGGGTTTTTGACAAATATTGGATCGTTTCTTGGCCTATGGCTGAGATTCGATCAAGGCTTTGACTAGCTTGGACTGGCTCCGGCCTCGACCTGTTAGGACAAGTCATGACCAGCTTTGATTAGGCTCTGACCAGCTTGGACAAGCTATGACCAATTTTGACCAGTGGCCTTTGAGTGGAAACACTCGGGTCTCCCACGTTAAACGACCTTGTGTCACATCTTGATTTTGTGGGAATCAAGTAAATACTAATTTGAACAGGTAACATTTTTGTTGGTCAAATATGGCAGAAAAAATGTCATCAACAAGAATCCTAACTCCTCTAGAGAAAGAATATAAAATACTCACATTTTATATCTAATAATTGATACTGAGAATTTGTCCAGGTCATATTTTCAATTCTTGCTTTGCACATAATCTTCTTATAGTCTCTCATTAAATTCAGCGTTAGAGTAGAACTTGTTTGCCAAAGTTTTCCTTTAGCTGTCTTAGATATTAAGGATTTCTGCTGAATTTCCTGCAATGATCCATTCTGATAAGCAATAATCCACTGAAAAGAAGCTTCTGGTTTTGACTCTTCAACTTTACAAACAAATATTCCATATTTATTTTCAAGATCTTGATTTGGAAGTTGAATAGATACAGATGTGACAGGAACTGAAATTAAAACAAAAGTCAGTTTCAACAAATTAAGAAATATTTTTAAAGCTTTTTATAATAAACAAAAATGAAATCATTATCAAATACAATTATCATAAGGTGCAAATTGTCATTTAAGTGAAATTCTGTTAATAATGCAGGACATTCTAGCCAGATATTTTAAGGGGCTTTATATATCCAAGCATAATTTTTGAACAGTGGCATTTATAACAAAACTTTATAAAATAATATCTTTAATGTATAAAAGTTAATCTCTGTAATAAATATCTTATTTTTAACTTTCAGCATTGTAATTATTTTGGCAAAACATTAAGAAACAGTATTTGTTGAAACTCTCTGTTATAATGAACATATGGTTGATATGGAAAGATCAAAATAACAGCCAAAAAGCATGCTTGGAAGGCAAAATTAAAATGAGAAGTTGATAAACTCAGATTTTAATTATTTATATTGTGTAAAATTGCAATAAATTCAAATGTTTCAACATGGAAAAGCTGGAAGATTAAATGAAATTATAAAATTAAAGACATAAATGAAATTACAACCGAAACTCTAAAATAGAAACTGCAATTAAAGACTCAGAGAACATGACAATATGAAAAGTATTGTAGATTCTATCAATAAACATTTTAAACTTATATTTACAATAACATATTTGTAACTCTTTGCACTGCAAAATTAATGTTATTTGTTAAGAATTTTATCACATAATGTCAATATCAGAATTAAATTCTGTAAATTTTATTAGACATTTCATCAATGCTTTTTAAAATAAACAAAAAAAACATGAAACAAATGCAATATCACATTGCTTTCTCTGACATTTCTGTGGTTTTAACCTGTGAAAATCACTAAAAAATATCATTAAGCATTTCATCATATAAAGTCAATATTTTTCTTTATAACAATGAACATGTAGAGATACAGAAGGTGCTTATCTCCCTTTTGTGAAGATAAGTCATGTGGGTCACATGACAACTGCTTAGTGATGTCACTCTGTACAGTGATGAAAGTGTTAGTCAAATTGAGTTGTGTTTGCAGCAGCCAAACAGAGAGGCTGCTTTCTTTAGATCAGGCCACCCCATAGCCTGGGCAAGGCTAAATCTACCTCCTCTGTAGCTTACAATTCATGGTGCTGTTTCCCTTTTGGATTATATCTTTCCCAGATATAGAAAGAAACTCCAGCTCACAATCCTCAGTTTGAGAAAAGTGAAGACTCACTGTTTCCTGTTCATGGAATATGTCTTCATAGATGAATCCAGTTCTCTTGTCTCTGTAGTCTTAAACATGGCTTTTCCAGACACAGAAGTATCTCCATATTATATGTAAGATCCTTCCTTTTTGTTTCTCCTTACACTCTGTTTTGGTGTGTAGATATATGATATATTATTATCTGCATAAGACATTATATATATATATATACATACATATATATATATATATATATATATATATATATATATATATATATATATATATATATATATATATATATATACTAATGATAATACTTGTTTGAAAATCTTGGATAGCTGAATTTGTAGATATATCAAAACAAATCAGTACCCGAGGAAAAAATTGGAGATAAAAAAAAAGAAAGAACTAAAAACATCAGAACAGGGTGAAACAAATCGCCCAGTACCTTAAGTCCTTAGTCCAAAGAAAAAACCCCAAGCGAATAGTAAGACTAAAACATAGAGTGTTCAATACGCTAAGTAGAGCAGGAATAACTAAAATAAATCCTAAAGAGCCAGGAAAACCTACCTAGGTTTCCCCTAAACGGATCTTCAGGGTAAGCTGGCTAAAAAGGAAATGAGAAAACGGTATTTATTGATAAAACTATTAAAAACTAATAAGCATAAAACCACATGACAGAAGAAGATAAATAAAACAAACAAACAAAAATCAAAAAAATCAAAGCCTTTATTCCAATAACCCGGATTTCCTATGCCTACACCTATTTAGAATCTCAAATCTTTGATTTATTAGGCTCATTGTAAGTGCCGAGTGCTAATTTTTCCTCTATACATAACAAACAAAATTTGTCCCCTGCTTTATCTATATGGCTTTTTTTTTAAAAATATTTCCCATTTTAAAAAGGGGTCACTAATCATCTTGTTGCTTTATATTCCATATGTATGTAGACAGACTGGTGTGGGCATAGGAAAGTCTGGTTATTGGAACAGATGCTGTAGGGTTTCTTTTTGACAGGATAAATATAATCATTGTGACCTGAAAAGGAAGGGAGCCAAACTTTTGGTCATCCCTCATGCTCCCTGTTTATCTGATAGTGTGTGTCCTGTGTTTATGTGTTGTAGAGGAGAAGAGTGCAGTTGAATCTCATTGGTTTAGAAAGGGTGAATTGTATTAATAATAATTATTATTGTTATAATTATTTGTGATAGTATAATTCAACTTTATTTGTTCATTTTTAATGGACAAAAATGTTTAATTAATAGCAATACATGAAAAATGTACATCAAATTATGGTTTTTAATTTTGTTTTTAGATTTAAGAAATCACAAGAAATGAGCATATTTTGCTTTGGCTTCCCAACGGGGATCAATTTACAGTGAATTTATATATCTTTAATAAAATTTAATAATTTTTCTTTTTATTTATAGTCTGGAGTGTTAAATCTACAGAAATGTGAAGAAATATTTTAAAAAATGGTTATATCATATTCCAATGCCAATAGTACGATTCCACAGAAACCATTAAATTCTTGTTTCTGAAATGAAATCTAAATCATTCAGATCTTAAAATCTAAGATTCATGTAATTTTTACAATAAACCTGAAAATTTTGCAAAATACTAGTTTAGCTAATATTATTTCATTTCAATATCTCAAAATCTTTGAAGTGTTTCGTATTTACTAATTCCACCTCCTGAATTTTTATGATAGATTCAAGGTAAATTTCATTACTGCTTTCATTCCAATTTCAGATAACAGTTTCTGTTTTGGAAAGGCTTGGAACACTTCCTAGAGGATGTTGATTTTCTGTTCAAGATCATCCTTATTCCAACAAAGTATACCTATATCATCAGCTTAGCCCCCAACCCTCATCATTAGTACATTGGCCTCAGATGGCTCCAGAGATTTCATATGTTTTTTTTTTATTTATAGAATTTCATTGGGATAAGTCTTGCTAATCATTCATGTTTCTATCTTTTTTGATGATATTATTACTTTTAATTAATAAATCATTCCAGCACTTTAAGGGAATTTCTTTCAGATTGTGGTGAAGGCAACCATTGTTGTCTTTTCCTCCAATTATCCTACTTTAAAAGTAATGATCAGATCTTACATGTGGGCAGTGGTCAAATTGCACTGAATAAAAATTCATCACAAACTTAAAGTATTTCTCAATATTTCTGAGATGAGGTATTGTAATTATTTACATTTATTTGAGTTCAACACCTGGCTACTGCAGTGATGAATAAAAACTTGGAAAGTTGAATTAAAGGGAGATAACTGAGATATCTGGAAGTGACACAGTACATGAAACTAGAACAATCGAATCTGGTGGATGAAATAAAGGGTTGAGTTTGAAATTTCAGTCACCTGAAGAAGGTCAGAGTGTACAATGGCTGAAACGTCATAAATATGGCAATAAAGATGAGGACAAGATTCTGAACAATGTAAATATTGTAAACAAACTTAAAGGTTCATCTGCTTTTCTTTACAATTTATTCAGTTCAGCTATAGACAAGTATCTGAAGCCAAACTGTTAGACCTAGATGTGTCAGGCTCAGATACTACTGATATATGGAAAACTTTATTCAACAACTTTCTCACAGACCTAGAGATTTCCTCATCAACCAGAATATCAGGATCAAAAAGCATACTCTATTATTTCACCATAATCCCATGCAGATTTTCAAAATATTTCTTCTTATAATGATTATGAAACGGCTGCTGATATTTTAGAAGAAATGTTTATTAAAAAATCCATTTTGCTCATCACCCACTCACCACTAAGCCACAACAACTGGGTGAAAATTTAAATCAGGCCCTGAAGACACTAAGCTGGAACTAAGGAATTGATAACAGAACTAGTCTGGGACAAATTTACGAGATACATTCATTAACAGAATATTGTCTCACCAAATAAAACAAAGGCTGCTTGAAAGTAAAACTTTAGACATGACAACAGCTTATGGCCGGTCTCTCTTATTAGACATAGTCCAGAAAGAATCTGTATCTAACATGTAACATGAAATTGTCAGAGCTATACTAAGCCCATCTATTCATATCTCAGGATGCCTTCAGGTTCAACTTTCTTTTCAAAAGCACTTGTTTCTCCATGCCCTCTTTTTTACATCTCTCCTCTTTGTTCATACAGTTTCAAAACACTTCTCTAAGTTATTTGAATTGAACAACCTGTTACTGCTGCCTCAGCATAAATATTATTTTTGTGGACTCAATTCTCATTCCTGTTTATCATGTCCTTTATGAAATTTGATAAACAACAAGTGTAAGAAAAATGGTCATTCTTCAAATTGTATATCTATGTGCATGATACAACACTTCATAGGTACACCTTCAAAAATCTAGATGACCAGAATCTACTTGTCCTGTTCAAAATTGTCTACATGTCATTGTGAGTAATTAATTATTTTCCATTCTACAACCCCTTTCCCATACATGAAACATTGTGAGCCTCTCACTATTCTATCAATATTTTCATGACACATATTTTGATAAGCTACATTCCTTGGTCCCTCCAGCCCTGACCTTTGCAAATGGAATCTGCTATACTATGTATATAAGGATGAATCATCCACATTCTATTTGTATTTCATTAGTAAGAAGTAAGTTCCATTAAGGCAGATTCTCCCCAAGAATACTTAGCCACTACACTATATTGAGCAGATGATTGGTGAGAATCTTACTTATTATAAAACGCAGATTTTGTGTGTGTGTGTATGTGTGTGTGTGTGTGTGTGTATGTCTGTAACGTTTATATATTGGATCAGATTTACTACATTTTTCAACCGATTTCAACAAAACTTTATAGGACTACAGAAAATTACCTTGTTGTGGTTCTAACAGTGCCAAAAAGGGGAAAAATACAATTGTTTTTGCACAAAATCAATATGAAAACACGATTAAGAAACATCGTGAGAATGAAAGGGAGACAACTCACATCGGGTTAAAAACCCAGGTTGTTTGTGTGTGTGTGTTCCTTTATATATGGGATCGGATTTCCTACATTTTTCAGCTGATAAAACAAAAATTCACTTTTTTTTTGGCAGGTAGTGTTTCTTATTCTCTTGCACACTTTTTTCTTTATTTTTAATACTCAGAATGCTTTAAAAATTGCATTTACAAGACAATTGTTTATAATAAAATTCTATTCAATTGGTAGACTCATAATGATTGAAAACAATGTTTTTGTTTGAGTTTGGGTTTGACCAATTCGTAAAAAAAATTTCAACAAAACTTCACAGGACTAAGTTCAATTACCTTGCGGTGGTTCTAACAGTGCCAAAAATTGGAAAAACACAATTGGTTTTTGCACAAAATCAATTTGAAAACACGATTAAGAGGTATCACGAGAATGAAAGGGGGACAACTCATATCAAGTTATACTTATAAAACCCAGGTTGTTTGTGTGTGTGTGTGTGTGTGTGTGCATTCATTTATATATGGGATTGGATTTCCTACATTTTTCTGATTTCAACAAAACTTCACGTTTTTTTTTTGGTAGGTAGTGTTTCTTAATGTCTTGTACACTTTTTTCTTTATTTTTACATTCAGAATGCTTTAAAAATTCCATTTACAAGACAATTGTTTATAATAAAATTCTATTCAATCGATAGACTCATAATGATTGAACACAATGTTTTTGTTTGAGTTTGGGTTTGACCAATTCGTAAAAAAAAAAAAAAAAAAAACTAATTAAGACATGCGTGTCCGTCAACATTTAAACAATAATCTAACGATCTCTACTGATTGTACGAATCCAAACATCGGATAATTCTTTATCTTTAGGGAAAGATAATGAAATCTAAACATACACAAGTCCTAACTAAAAATAATAACCGGAAACTACTTTAAATACACATGTTGTCAAATTATTTTACTGTATTCAATAAGTAAAAATCATAAATTGTAAAAGATTATTATTACAGAAAGGCTACTAAATGAATAATATTTGTTAGATCATAATTAATAAACGTAAATAAAGTTAATATTTTTTGTATTAGAAACAACGAGTGGAAAATATATTCAAATCAGAATTCTAATTATGAATCACCACAAGCAAAATATGCATTTTTTTTACTGTATTCAATAAATAAAAATCATAAATTGTAAAACTAAAAGATTACAGAAAGGCTACCTACATTTTTTAACCGATTTCAACAAAACTTCACTTTTTTTTTGGTAAGTATTGTTTCTTATTGTCTTGCACACTTTTTCTTTATTTTTACATTCAGAATGCTTTAAAAATTCCATTTACAAGACAATTGTTTATAATAAAATTCTATTCAATCAGTAGAGTCTCATAACGATTGAAAACAATGTTTTTGTTTGAGTTTGTGTTTGACCAATTCGTAAAAAAACCTTAAACAATAATCTTTGTCAATTTTATTTTTCAGTCTTTATGATGGTGGATACTTGATCTATCTCTTAATGTTATATCCCCGGGCAATGCCGGGCTCTACTGCTAGTGCTAAATATAAAACTTTAGCACACTGGACCTCAAAAGTGCATATCACTAAGTAGAAATGGACCTGAAAGACAAGCCATGTGAACAGTTGTATCAATTTTGATGAATTCTATTTGAGATCACAAATGGTAGCGCTAGCTTCAAAATAACAGATGAAAAACTGGAGGTACTTATATTTACATAGACAATGGTATCCAGCCTTGAAAAAAATTGATCACAATCCCAATCTTAAGCAGTTCATAGTTGCTGTTGAAAATTACAACCTTACACTAGACAATGATTTTTACAAGTTAAACACTATTAACCTACTAGGATAGGTCATAAGCAGAGGAACTATGGCCCCAGACACTAAACTGCTGAAGCTACATAGGTATGTTTGCACATTTTTACCCCTGGGTAGCCTCATTCTCTGAGAAAATACACCTGTTAACAGAAATATACCAGTTTTCCTTTAACTCCTCTTGCCATCAAAGTGTTTGTGGGTCTAAAAATGGGAATTTGCAAATTCTGTTATTGCAGCAGTAAATTCCACTCTTCCTCTAGAATTTCTCTGGCTGTGTTATTGTTGCTTTGCTGAGGCAATCCAGCTGCTCCATGACATTCTTCTCCAGAATATTTTCACAGTTGGAATGGTAACATTCAGTAATAGAAAAAGAGGCTTATACCATTTTGAAGACCCTATAGAAATGATATCATTACTTGATCAGTTGCCACTTTAGAGTAGCCAAATTCTGTAGCTAAGATGACTAGCCAAATGAAAAATAGACAGAGGGATGAATGAGCTTTCCTGCTTTCATTTGATGTTGTCTACCATCTTAGGAAGGAAAATGTTGTGGCTGATGTCCTCTCAAGGGTACATGGATCAGTAAAAATTTCCTGAAGCTTCATCATGAAAGTCATACAACCCTCTGAAAGACTTGACTTAGATTTCAAAAGACTGGTACCAAGTAAAATTGAAAATAAATATTTTCTGCCAGTGATCGACAAATACTTTAGATTCCCATTAGTTCTTCCCTCCTCCTCCTCATTAATGTTTTAGCTGAAACTGTTATACAATGTCTCAGCTGGTTATTCTCAATTTTCAGGGTACTAGCTTGGATTCACACTGATCAGGGTATCTGTGGATTCTTCCAAGGAATAAAGCCTACTGGGAGATAGAGTGGGCCAATATCTGCACTGGAAAATCTGCAACTTCTACGGGAAGAAAACTGAAAGAAACTGGCATGAACACCAACCAGACCCGGTTAGGGAGATAGAACCTGTTACAATTCTATGGGTCTACACAATACACACTGACAGAACAATCAAAGTCAACTGCCCAGATATTGTTATTAAAGACCACAAACAAAAATTGTGCTTCCTTGTTGATATGGCAGTCCCTGCTGACTGCAGTGTATCTTTGAAGATATTCAAAAAGCTGTCAAAATATAAGGACCTTGAAATAGAAATCTCAAAAATGTGGCATATGGGAACATCAAAAATCCCTGTTGTAGTTGGAGCCCTAGGACTGGTTAGAAAAGATTGCAGTAGACTAATTGAAGAGATTCCTGGAAGTCCATGCCTCAAAGAGATATAAAAAATTGTTCTGACAAGTACAGCCCACACTTTACGAAGGGCTTTATCTATGTAATTTTTTTTTTTTTTTTTCAGTGGAAAGTGTCATGATGCCATTTCTAAACTTAGGTCCCTGAACAGGACCTGGAAAGAAATGTGTAAATGCCAGAAATCAAAGAAAACAAAAATAATAATAATAATAATAATAATAATAATAATAATAATAATAATAATAATAATAAAAACATACATACTTACCATTTACTGTTAAACAGAATAAGTAAAGATTTGCTGCACTTTCACAGCCAATGATATTTCCATCTTGACTTAAGGAAACTTGTTTTATGTTCTATGAAAATGTTTAAATTTATAAATAAATGTGCTACATTATAAAAGCATTAAATTGCTAAATTGTTTATAATTAAGCAGTAAAATTATAATCACTATAAAAGTAACATTTAACAACAAGGAGAATGATGATGATGATGCTGGTGATGATGATAGAAGCATATGAAACTATACATACTTACCATTAACTGTTAAACGGAATAAGTAAAGCTGTCCAGCACTTTCACAACCAATGATATTTCCATCTTGACTTAAGGAAACTTGTTTTATGTGAAATGTTCCTTTCTTTTGCTTTGCATCACAGGTAATATCAAACCTGTTTTTGTCATAGTCAGAAATTAATTCAATACAGTCTTTATCAAAATAGCTCGATATATTATTTGTTTCATAATACCAGATCATTTCTCCATTCTGTTCTTTATCACAAACCAATGTATAACTCTTTTGGTTCAAGGCAAAAGGGAATTTATTTTCAGAACGAAAGTGTGTGATATTATAATCTGCATGATAAAAAATGGAAAATAATTAGAAACTGAAATTAAAAATGAAGTTATAAAACATTTTTTATAAAAATTAATGAATTTTCACCAAGTAGAAGAATTAACAGTTTTCAAAAATCAAGAATAAAGAACAAAGAAAATATTTCATAGAAAATATTTCTGAGATAAATATATATAAACTTTTGATGAATTATAATATATCTTCCAGATTTATTTATATTTGTAAAGTATATTTTACAGAGATTACAAAATGAAATAATACCACCAACTTAATAAACCCTTCAACTCCTACCCGAACCATGTAAAAGATACTCACCATTATCAAATGAATTATTACAGAATCTCCATCCCACCCTCTACCACCTCTACCACCCATTTGCAGTGAGAGACTTTGGCCGTGGAAACCCAGGATCCATTTCAGATTTGCTTTAATTTTCACCAAACCGCTATTGAAAATAAATTTCTTTCCCTGTCCATAAAAGAAAATGTTAAAATTAAAGATTGGAAAGAAACATGTGAAGAGTCCCTTATATATAAGTTTGTGCCCTGTACCATCCTTTTAAGCTTTCCCGAAATCTTTGGCTGCACTTCTCTGATCAACAGTTGCATAAAATCAAGGTATCTGTATTGCCATGTTGCGCATGTCTAGGTGACTTTGCATGTATCTTTGCTGAGCAATCCTGGGGCCATATTATGCTCTGTTCTCAGCCACCCACTATCTGGTTTGTATTGGCATTGATAGTGACAATTATGGTGGTCTTTTTTCTCATGCCTAAAACAAATCTGATGGCAATAAAAACAAAAAGAAATACAACTAACACAGCCAATAAAAATCCACCTACCCGACTCAACTACTCTTTATCCAATAGTCATGGCATCCATTCCAACTTCTGCAGCATAAAATCTTTTCTTATGGAACAGTCATCAGATATCTTTGCCCTTTGTGAATTCAACTTTAATTCTTCCATTGCTACAAATGATTTCTTGGTTTCCAGGCCATCTTCACCCTTGCCAAAATGCATAGCCTTGGCGTTTATATCCAGGATAATCTTCCAATGGCCAGGGAATTGTCTTTCAAAGTTGCTGATTACTCTTTAATGAGCTTCCGTCTTTCATTACTAAACTCTGTCAGCTATCTCTTTTTCCTTTATCGCTCCTCATCTTCCCAGGACTGAAGTATATTAGACATAATAGCTGACAGTATAAAACAGGCACTTTTTCTCCATCCATCTGTAAACATCTTTTTCATCTGTAATTTTAATGATCACCATGACACATGGCTGACACATTCTAAAGGTAGACATGATGTTACAGGTATTCAGACATTAAATTTTTCTTTTACCCAATTCCTTACTCAAATCATGGACTTCCCTATTTGTTTCATTAGCAAAACCAAACAAGAGGTTTCTCTGTTTGATTTATTTCTTATGAAGTTTCTTTGCCAAGCTTCACAATACTGACCTCTTGGTAACTCTGACCACTCTGTGGTAGCTCTTGATATTTTGTTCTAATCATCAGAAACTCCCTATCCATAAGACATCTTTCTATTATCAGCATACTGACTCACTCTGTGATTTTCTTTGTGAGGCTGCTCCATGGACTGACAAACCTCAATCCTCTTCAACAACTATAACACACAGGAACTACTGTTTTTGGCCATACCAGCATGACAGCTTTTATTACAACAGGTGCCTATTCATTACTGCTTGTAATAAATGAAAGTTGAGGTAGCTACGTCTCTGTTTGCCAAGAGAATGAGGCACCACCTAGCTTCTAACAGCTTTGGCTCTTATGATTACTGGTAGCTCTGTAATAAGGTATTAATTTTAATGCCTCCAAAATGAAAATTCTCTCTATTAATCATCTGGGAAACCCCGCTCTGCCTTCAATCAACACGACTGGTGCTAACCTCCAGAAAAGTGACTTGTTGTGCCTTCTTGGGCTAATGTTCTCAGCTGATATGAAGTGGAAAGACTATATTGAATCCACTGCTATGTCAGCTTCTAAGAAATTTGGTTTACAATATTTCGACTGTTTTTCCCTCTGGCCTTCTTCAGTTGTCTATCAATCCAGATAACATTCAGGGAATTTCAAACTGAACCCTTTATTTGATCCAACCCACACCCTATATTTCATCTTGTTCTTTTGTAGTGTTGCTCAGTTAGTGTTAGTGCTGTTTCCACTGAGTCTGACTCTATACTAGAGATTAAGTTACTATGACTTCAAATTTACAGTTCCCTACATTATTCATCACTGTAAAGCTTGCTACAACTATAACTGCTTCTCTTCTATTAATGGTACAGACATGTTATAATAGACTAGTATATGCACCAATTCCTTCAGACCTTAGACTTTTCAGTGTTCTTCTCTGCTTTGTATATTTAATTAATTTTTCAAAGGTTGGTGCCCATCCTTTTACTTCTATACTTGATCAATGATACCCGATTTCATTGTCTTATTTCTAATTACAGTTCAATTTCCCTTCATTCTTATTGTCAGGGGTCAACTGTTTTCACCTTTGTATTCTATGTCACAACTGCAAGAGGTGAAATAGCCGTAGTTCTTAATCATATTTACAGTATTATGATTGATTTGCTTTGATATAGAAAGAAATGTCAACTGAAATATTGACTCTCCATGAAAACAAAGACATTCATTAGTAGTATAAGAATAAATAAAATTGAATCCAATAAGACCTGAATGATTCATACAATGAGGAATTTGAAAGTATGAGGGCATAATAAATAAGCTTGACTCTCATCACACTGCTTCTCTTTCATTCTTTATTAAAAGCATATGTAAAGTATTTATATTTATACTAAGCCTACAGAGGACACCATCATAGTGTAGTATATACACTGATACCTTCAAACATTTGGTTTTCCAGTCTTCTTCTTCGTTTAGTGTTTTTAATGTTTAATTCTTGGCAATTCATCTTCATTTTTAATGTTTAATTCTTAGCAGTAATTCATTTCACAACGGTTATTATCAACCACTTTTCCATTTACACATCGTCAACTATGCCTAATTTCATAATTTCTTATTTCTAATTACAGTGTTCTTCCCTCATTAAATTTTCATATTTATTGATGATAATATTAATTTTATAAATAAGAATTATTAAATGGCTGATTCTATTCAACTCTGAGAATATTTCAGAAAATTAATTCTAAGTTTGTCCAAATGAAATTTATAAATTGTATTAAAATTCAATGGAATACACATGTCTAAAAAGTGAAAAGATTTTCTAGTCTTACATTTTGATGTTTGATGTAAATGTGAAGAACAATATAAATATACTTGATATATATATAAGAGAGATTTTTTCAAACAGTATTTCCAAGGAGAAAAAAAGAGGAAGAAATATACTGTCGTGAACTGAAAAGAATAATAATCTACTTTTAGCAAGAATTCTTTTTGTTTTTAAACAAAGACTTGTTTGATCTAAAATCAGAATAAAATATAAATATACTTACTTTCTATAAGAAGAGGGAAATTAGTAGAACCAGTCTACAAATGGCAAGAAACCTTTTTGTTTGATTTTTTAACAAAGTGTTGTCTGATTGATATGTAAATAAAAAATAAATATACTTACTTCCTACAAGAATGGGGAAATTAGTAGAACTAGTCTACAATTGGCAAGAAACCTTTTTGTTTGATTTTTTTTAACAAAGTGTTGTCTGATTGATATGTGAATAAAATATAAATATAGTTAAAATAATTCACATTTTCTCAAGCAGTCTTTATAAGGAAATAAGATAGACAAAAAAGAGATGAAGAAAGATACTGTCATGAATTAAAAAAAATATAATAATCTACTTTCAGCAAAATTTCTTTTTGTTTTTAAGCAATGGTTTGTTTGATCTAAATGGGAATAAAATATAAATATACTTACTTCCTACAAGAAGTTGGAAAGTAGCAGATTCAGATTCTGGACAGTGTAAACCTCCTCTATCTCCAATCTGAGTTGAATTGAAGTGAAGTACAGAATATCCTTGTTTACAAAAAGCAGTTATTCGATTCTTGTAAGCTTCATCAATATTACATGTGGATGAATGACAATTTTCACAGTTAGCTATAATCCTTCTATTTAATCTCCATTTTGCTGAAGGGTCATCACACTCAAGTGTAAATGGGTCTCCTGCTTTAATTAGTAATGTTTTATTCTTAGCAGTTATTTTTGATTGTACTGAAATACAAAGAAAGCAATAAGAAAAAGAGAAAAATATCAAGAAAAGATTTACAAGTCTGACAATCTCAGAATTTCACATCAAAACTTTTCTGAATTTATGCATTGTTATTATTTTCTTTTCTTTTATGCTCTTTTTTTGCATAAGAAATAATATACATATTTATATCTATTTTAAAATAATCCTGTTAATTAGGAGTTTTCAAAATACATGAATAAAACAAATTAATTTATACTTTATTATCAAATTCATTTTTAATTGATTTTATGATATCCATGTTGAGAAATATTTGCTTCTATTTAACAAATGTAAAGTTTCATCTACAAAGTAATATATTTTTCTAATATAAGACAAATAAAATCAGTTTTTATCAAATTAGTTTTTAATAGATAAACTATAATGTTCAATTTTATTGTGTATATCTATGCATACAGACAGGTGATTATTTTTAGTTATGATATTGATGGAATTAATTGAGAACATTTTGAAAATTACCAAAGTCATTAAACACGTTTTTTTTTTATTCCTAATGGAAACAAATTAATGTCTATCATATTTTATTACTTTTTGCAACATTATTGGAATGACTTGTGCAGATAAATGTAATGTACCATCCTAATACAGCATTACTATATCCTTTATATAGTATCAATTTTGTACATCAGTGAAATACAGACAAGGATATGTATATAATTTTTGAGAGTAAACATTTTAACAACAAATTTATAGAATTAGAATTAGACAAAGGTTTGCTCATGTAGCAAACTGAAGAGATAAAAAAGGAATGTGAAATGAGGTCTTGGGAGCTGATATGGTTCTATATTATGTTAGTGATGAATGATGTGAGAACTGCAAGTCTAGAATAGATGTATAGTCATTTTGTGTAACTAGAATTAACTGGCAATGTTGACAAATTAAAAGAATGTTCAGAAATTTACTCACAGACACATTCTACAAAAGTAAATTTACACTTAAATACAATGGTAATTTTTTTTAAAACTCATTCTGCCCAAATTTATGCAACTATTTTTTTTAAAAATGTAACTTTAGAAAGCGTAAAAGAATGGCTTACCAAAAACAATTCCACAAGACAATGCAAATAAAATCAGATTCAACATCTGTGAAAAGAAGAAAAAATATAAGAAGGAAATACAACCAAATATAAATTGAGTTGATTTGGTCATCAAATTTTCATTTCTGCAAGTTTGGTTAAAGTCCAGTGAAACTTTCTTGTCTTTTATTTCAAATCATTTTCCTGGTTTCCATCTTTAAATACCAACTGCCCAGTGTCTGAGTATTTTCAGCATTCATAAGTCATTATTAAAACGTTTTTGTTTTGTGTGTTGTCAATTTCATCATTTTTCAAATATCATATCTTTGCATGTTATATCAGTATTTTAAAGTATTGTGTCTTCACATGACAGTTTTGCTGTCTTGTTATTTTTATTTTATATGAAATATATTTAGGAGGTTTGTTTCTAACTTTGATAGCATTTTATTAATGTTGGATTTTCATTTATTCTCAATACTTCTAGCATTTGTTATAATTATTACAGTTTATGTAATATATTCTTTTTGTGTTTTTGATAAAGCATTGTCAGATTTCTTGTATTTTGTTGTTGTGTGAGTTGGGGATATGTAATTTAACTATTATCAGATAATTGGTTCTGTAGCAATAGAGTAGGAGATTATCTCCCTTTGGTCGTGACAAGTCATATTGTTCACGTGACGGTCGTTTAGTGATGTCACTTCATGCAGTGACCAAAGTCATTCAGTTTGTTTACAGCAGCCAGTGGTTGCTTTTTTTTCACCTGGGTCAAGGGGCCTGGACTGAAGCTAAATCTTCCTCCACCAACAGCTTACAAGCACATGGTACCATTTCCTTTTGAGAATATATCTTTCTCAGATATAGAAAGAAACTCCAGCTTGCTGTCATCAGTTTGGGAAATCCCAAGACTCGACATTTCCCCTTTGAGGAATATGGCCTCGCTTGAAAAATAGTAATTAAATCTGGCTCATTTGAATCTGTAGTCTTAAATATGGCTTCTCCAGATATCACAGAAGAATCTCCATATTATATGTAAGATTTATTCTTTTTTCTTTCTCCTCACACTCTGCTCATTGTATAGATATGTGATATATTATTCTCTGTGTGGAACATGTATATATAGTTTTGTGTATGTTTTAGTGGTGTAAAAGTCTCTCTGAGAACAAAGCATGTTTGTCATTCATTTTCCTTTTAGGCATTCCATTCCATCTGTAAAGTACAGTGTTATATAACAGTGTTATATAATAATGCCCATAATGGGGGAAATACAAAAGGGAGAATAAACCTTTCTTTCATAGCTCTCTCGTTACAACATATTAATGTGTGTGATGATGTACTTGTTGTATTACCAATCTATATTTGTTTGAATTATTATTATTCATGAAACATTCTGTGAGTAAGTAAACAAATTCATAGACAAATTTTATTTTGAAATTTTGTTATTTTCATGTTGTATCTTTGTTGATGATCATGTTGGAGTTTTTTTAGTTTTTGTAATTAGTGATGAGTTTTACTTTCATTAGATTTCTAATGATTTTTGTCTAGTTTGTGGTTCTTCTGTAGTTAGTTTCTGTAGTTTTATGGTGTTTTTTACATTATTTTTTTAATCATTTCACCCCTATCCAGGTGATAATACCAGTAGAATGCAAGGAGTAACTGGATTTGAAATAGAATGAGAAGACTTTAATGAGAAGAAAGGACAATAAAATTACTGGTTTCAGGAATACAGATGATTGACATTGCATTTAAATTTTTGAAGATTGTAGGTGACAGGGAAGCAAGAAACAGGAAGAGAGTTCCACATGAAAGAAGTGCCAGAAAAAAAAAACTATTAGAATAGAAGTTATGGTTACATCTAGTTATTTCAACAGTCAAACAATGAAATTTAATAGAGATTTCTACTCCTGGTGAAAAATCAGGCAAAGATACACCTGAAGAGTCAAGAGTGAAGTTGGAAGAGAATTTCCAAGTAAAGTATTCTGTTTTATCAGCAGCAGATATCAATACATCAAATGGATTGAAGAGAGGAGGGATTGAGGATTTACACATATACAGCACGTTCTTAAAGAGCTGCCAGTAATCTCTAGAATTAAACTATACGGTGTCTCATTCTATCTGTGAATAATGACTTTGCCTTGTTAAGGACATGGTTACACTCATTACAGGTAGATGCAAATAGGCATTTGTTATGATTGGAACTATCATGTTGGTATACCTGGAACAAGTGATTCTGGTGGGTCATAATGGCTGAAAAGGCACAATTTACTTGGTACTTCTGTGCTGGCATGAAAGCTTTTATGCAAGTTTGTACCCAGCAGAAAAATTTACAACAGATTAATATTTAAATTTAATTCTGGTGAGGTTGTGAATAAAATCACAGATACAGAGAAATCCATTCTTGTCTGGATGAATGGATTTCTCTGTATCCTTGGAAACTGTAAATTATGATTTTTGCCGTGCCTTTAAAACCAGTAAATTTAAAATAAGTTACTCCAAAATTCGCTTGAGGATGAAATGGAACTAATGTCTTTAATTTAATTACAAAATTAAATTCTAAGCTTTTAGCTTCCATTTTTGAAACATGGTTAGAACTGTGTAGCAAAAAAAAATTTTTTAAATCAGTTTATTTTAATATAAATATATATATATATATATATATATATATAGAGAGAGAGAGAGAGAGAAAACGGTTAATGTTTATAGTTAATGTGTTATATATATATATATATATATATATATATATGACCGTTAACTGCAAAATTTAATATAAATTTAACTTACTATAGGGGTTTTGTAATACTTCCAATGATAATGATATGTCACTGTAAGTTTAGTAGGTTATTACTTTTATTACCTGATGGTCCTCCTGTTGATGTGGGTGTGTGTTGGTGTACGTGTACTGTGTTGTTTGTGTCTGCATGTGTGTGTGTGTGTTTTTGCAACTGACAGATGAATATATATATATATATATATATATATATATATATATATATATATATATATATATATATATGAAGTTTTTGTTTTTATATAAAAAGAAAGAAGGTAAAAAGGAGGAGAAAAAATGAAAGAAGGGAAATATATATATATATATATGTATATATATATATATATCTGTGTCTGGGTGTGTGTATATGTATATATTTACTATTTGCGTGTACTTCTGTATGTATGTATATGTTTATGTGTATGTATGTGGGTGTGTGTATATATATATATATATATATATATATATATATATATATATGGCTGTGTGTGTGTCTGTACTGACACCTATTATATGTGTGCTTGTTTATGCATATGGGTATATATGTTTAACTTTGGTATGTGTCTACATATGCGTGTGTATATATATATATATATATATATATATATATATATATGCATGTATGTGTATTTATACATGCTTATATATATGTATATGTGTATGTATGTGTATGTCTTCATATATGCATATATATGTATCTATATCTTAGTGTCTTGGAATGTATCATCAATACTAACTAAAATCTACCTTTGTTTGATAATGGTTTTAGAACTGCTTATAGACTTAATAATCAACAATTGTGTCTCGTTACTTTTTAATATTGTATGGATTTTACTGTCCTTTATCATCATTAAGATAATATTGTTAGAATATGTGTAGGTTTATGTATATGCCTATTTATGTGAGTATATATATATATATATATATATATATATATATATGTGTGTGTGTGTGTGTGTGTGTGTGTGTGTATATGTGTGTGTGTTTAAGTTTACGTTTGTATGTGTTCTTTATATATATGTGTGTGTTTGGATATGTGCATGTGTGTATATATGTATGTTTCTGTATCTATCTATCTATACATATATGTATATATATGAATATATATATATTTGGTTTGTTTACTTTTTTATGTTGCTGTGTGTGTTGATATATTTATGCTTGCATCTGTATGCGTATATATGCATATATGTATGCGCATATATATGCGTGTGTATGTGTATATATGGATATATATGTGTGTATATATATGTGTGTGTCTGTGTGTATATGTTTGTCTGTAGGTAGTCTTTTCTGTGTTTCTGTCTGTAGTGAAGAATGTGTGTACACATATATCTGTATGCAGTTTTTATTTTTTTTCACCAACTGTTATATTTTTGTACTCGTGTAGTGCACTATAATTTCAATTTTAATAAGTGGGTAGAATTCGTTTAATAACACTTTCAAACTTGAATATTTCTTGGTAGGTGTATTGGCGTGTCTTTGTCAATGTATGTGTGTGTATGTACGTGTCTTTATCGGTGTCTGTGTGTATGGTCACTTGTGTGCACCTTTCATTGTGTATGTATGTTGTTGTTTTTTTTTTGTTGTTTTTAAGAGTCATGGAGATATTTCCTGTTTCGTCACTTTTTTTTGTATATATGTGTATATATCTAAGTACGTCTGCGTGTTTATATATTATAATCTGGTTGTCGTTTGCAAGATGTCATCCTCCCCTGCCTCAGTTTATGCTTCAAATGTATCTATGTTGTCATGAAGTTCAGAGCAACATTTGATCTTAACGTTTATTCCAAATTAATTTCAATAAAAACAAAATAAATAGAATAATGTTATAGCCAAGCGTATGGTTGCAAGAAATACGACAACAGCAGAAATAGATTTATGTGGTTTATTTCAACAGGAACGTGTGGGTTTGGGACAGCTACCTTGTGGTAAAGTTCATAAGCCGGTTTCGGATCTAGGTCGATGTCTCATAGTAGTTCACTTTCACACATGTTGACGGTGGTTGATGCTCTCCTGCTGCTGATCGCTCGGCCTGACCGTGATAGGTCTGTTTTGCGGCCACCTGTTGAACTTCCGTGTGACCCCTTTTATAGCGTTTTTTTTATGGCTTAACAGGCTCGAGAAACGAAGCGAGTATAATTAGGAGGGAAGCATTTTTATTGGACGAAAAATAGAGCACTTTAAATATTATTTTATTTTTCGACCGCAACACGTGTGTCGGGAACATTTGTAAAGAAAGATAATGGTCATTTTGTGACGGGGCTTTGTCCCGTTCACATCCGGTTCTCGCTCTTGAGTAT